GTCATGACGGACACTCATGCGTTATATTGAGAATCCACCTTAATGTGAATAGCCTAGGCCTGCTAACAACTTGAAGTACATGTGCATGTACATGACTACATGTACATGTAGGTGGAAATATGGCCAAACTCGAGATTTGGCCAGTTCCTCATCTCTGATGTGAAATGGTTGTTGTTTTCGGCAAATAAGGGTCATCATCGATCATGAAACCAACACATTCAAGCTTTGCAAGGTATACATGTACATGTAGCACTTTCTGGCATCCTAAGACAATGACACAAATACTCATTCCTCCAGCCAGTCAATGCAGTCATTTTGCTTTTTGCCAACCAGTGGGTGTGCCTGGCCACGTGTACCCCAATGTTTTGCCGACTTCAAAGAAGTGTCTAACGCACAGATGGTCTATAATGGTGAGGCTCCTTCAACTCTCAATATTAAATTATACATAAGCAACATACACATGTACAGTACACATACCTTCTTACAACTGAACTGACCAGTAGTGATATTATCAAATAATAAACATTCAGTCATTAGTTGATTGTACTTATACTGTCCCCCAATCACTACTAGTGTCGGTGAGGTAGAGTCACCATTGATAATAGCACTAGCATGACCATCTCTCTCCTTAGTCCAGAGTCCCTCACCAGATATTGATCCTTTAATACTCTCCCAATGCTGAATACATGAAACATAAACATAATACCTTATAAGGTAAAAAAGGATAGCCTTTTTTACTAATAAATAATCTCATGACTGTCATAATAATAATAACTTACTATTGTATTATGTGTCACATTAAATATGTAAATATTATTAGTAACTGTATATAGACCATCATTAGTTACTGTTCCTCCTAACATTATTCCTTTATTTTGATTTATTTTGTTGATTGTAAAACCACTAGTTGGTGGACAACACTGTCCACTGACAGACGGAACAGTGAATTGTCCTAAAATACAATAAATATAAATAAGTAATAATGTCATCATGAACTGTCACATCTCAAGACATATTCACATAATTCAGTGATATAAAGACACTCACCATTAGATAGATTATAAAGTAACTGTTCATTAGTGAGAGCACGTCCATCCCTAAACTGATCATATTGAAACTGAAGATGTTTGACAGCTGGTGTAGTACCTATCCCTCCAACCATAAAAAGATAGTCAGTTCCTTCAAATTCCAGTGATAGCATTCCACCATAGCCTTTCTTCATCCTGGACTCATCATTAGGATGCAATTGAGTCCAGCTCATTGTCAGTGTATTTAGTACATTTAAACTGTTGTGGTAACAATGACCATGACCACACCAGCCAGCATAATAATAAATATTAGAATGAAAGGTGGTACAGGAGTAGCCCATGATTCCTAATGGAGGAATGCCTCTTGTTAGGTGAGAGGACCAGCGAGCTGATGAAAAGGAAAATGTCTCAACTGTTGAGGTCAGTTTCCTCTTTTGAGGTGAATCATGTACTCTAGGTAAATCAAGCTGGTCCCCTGCCCACAGGTAGAGTGACCCTCCTATTACTGGAGCTGAGTGTTCAGCCCTATCTTTAAACTTATAAATACCTGTAAAGGAAAGAAAATAGAAGGAAAAGAATATAAAAAAGAAGGAAAGAAACTAACTTTGTCCTGACATTTTTCCAAGCCATAGATATTAGAGTACAGGAAAGGGATTGGAAACCACCGGAAATATTACATGTAGATGATGATCAGACAGTCTATTGACACTAAATGCAGCACTTCTTTTAGGATCCACCTCATCGAGCAAGAGCAAGATGCTTTGCTATTATCAAAATAATGATAAGAAATCATTTTTGTTAAAAATAAAAGTCAAGGAAGAATAAAAAAGACCGGGAAAGTGCCAACATCCTTGCTTCATCCCTCCATTTTCTTGTGTTTTGTTTTTCAATAATTTTTAATTATTTTTATCGACATTTAATAATTTAAAAACAATACAGGTTTGTAGATCTACTCTATTGAGCATGCGCACTAGATAAAACTTCCAAACCCCTAGTAACCATAGCAACGAGCTGCGCGAGCCCCACCCTTATTTTGTTTTGCAGAAACCAGCCCCACCCCTTTTTCAAACATGTTTACTCTTCTCTAAAACTGATTTTTCTGGGTTTGCAGGAACATAGAGAAAGAGGAGAATGTCAATGGCAACTTACAGCAGTCATACCTTACCAAGTCGTGGAGGAGGAGGAGGGGGCCGCTTTTACAGTGGAAGTGCTGGCCTCATGGAGAAGATCCATGAAATGCTGACAGAGAGAGAATGCAGCATTTTCAATGAAGGACTAGCAGCTTATCACAAAAGAAGAGACGTGAGTAGATTTGTGGAATCCCTGAGCCTGGTACTGAATACAAACGGGAAGAGACAGCTACTAGTGCCAATAAGAAACCAGTTTATAAAGCCAAGTGATCTCATCAAGTTTAATGACCTCTCCATCAAATATGGCATAGCCCTACCACTCAAAGGAAACACAGCTAAGAGCGGGAAGAAAATGTTCAACAAAACCCAGACAGGCCCAAAAGTCCTTGAGATAAAGAGAGATGAGAAAGGAGAATGGGGTTTTAGCATAAGAGGTGGGATTGACCACGGGATTGGTATATTTGTGTCCTGGGTTGACAGAGGCTCCAATGCAGAGAAAGCTGGTTTGAAAGTTGGAGATTACATCCACAGAGTCAATGAAGTTGGACTGGAAGGGCTTACTTTTGCACAAGCCACTCAAGTATGTCATAAACCCAATTGTAATTGTTATAAATAATAAATTCTTCTTATCAATAGATTTTTAGAAATCGTAGCAAGATAAGAATGGTGATAACGTCATATGGAAGGATCCCTGGGTTCCAGTTTGCTAATAAATCCTTCCGTTGGGTCAATCGTGAGGGGAAACCAGTTCTACCACCGACTGAGATTGAGTCTCTTGGGATGACAAGTGGAGGCCATGTTGATCCTAACGTCAGAAAAGTAAGACAATAGAAATAATAATAAATTAGTACACAATAACTAAATTATTTTTATATTAATAATTATATTCTTGCTAGCTTCTACCCTAGGAAAATGTTGCTTTGATGTCTAATATGATTGTTGTTTTTATTGTTGTTGTTGACAATTGTTGTTGTTTTTATTGTTGTTGTTATTAGGTTAGTTTTACAGTTGAGTCTGGTCAAGTGTTGGGGATATCAATAAGAGGAGGAGCTGAGCACGGGCTGGGTATTTATGTATCTGAGGTTGATGCTGGATCTGTTGCTGAAACAAATGGAATAAAAGTAGAAAATAATATCATTTACATGTACTTACTACTTACTAATATCATTATAGAGAGGGGAACAGATATTGGAAGTGAATGGAATAAGTTACATTAATATACTACACCCCGATGCTGCTAAAGGATTGAAGTAATAAGAAATATTATTATCATCATTATTATTATTTGTTATTATAATTTATTTATTAATGCATGTATTTCTAGAGAAGAGCGTGTTATGACGATGAGGTTGAAAGACGTTGGGAAGCTCCCTCACTCAAAGATACCGCCAGTTGTACCTCAAACGTGGCAACAGGAACCATCAGTTGCTGCATCACACACAACACGATCAATGAGATCCCTTCCAGGAACAATGAAGAAAGGGTAAGCAATAATACTCACCTTGAAAATAATTATAATCCATCATTACTATTACTAGTACTGAATACACAGATAGCTCAAAACCAGTAAGTTCACTGTATTAATGGAAATATCTATTAGTATTGCACTATTATAATAGGCTGAAGGAACAGGTGGAACACCAGTGATGATCACCAAGAGAGCCTTAACTCCTGGTAGAGGAATCATGAATGAAGTGGCCGAGTCTTTGCTCACTAAATCAGAGATGACTACTTTTACTTATTATATCACAAAATATGAGCACAACCAGATCAGTGTTGAGTCACTGGTGGAGAGTCTATTGAAATTATTGAACACTGATAAAAAGGTAAAATTAATAATTAGTTATAAAAATATTGTTTATTATTGTTATTGTTGTCATTGTCATTGTTTATTGTTGTTGTTGTTGTTATAGATGAATCTGATTGGTGAGGTACGCAACATAATACGAGAGAAAGACTTGGATCTTTACAATGAGCTAACGGCACAGAAAGAACTGCAATCATTTAGAGTAAGCTAATAACGAACACATTACAATGATGATATCATCATTGAAATTAAAGGCTAGCAAATCATTGTATGATTCTGATGATGATGATATGGCTGTTGTCCATGCAATTAACGGGATTAAAACGCCACAGAAAGGATTTGTAAGGACCCCCTCTTCCTATCTCTTGTACAATTATGCATGTAATTCCTTAATAGAATGATGATGATAGTCTTGATGATGTTCCTCAACGTTTTCAGACAGTTCCCATTACGATCCACCCACCACCACCACCTCCTAGGGAAGGGGACACTAGGTAACATCAATTGAAATATGATCCTTCAATAAACCTCATTGTATATTTATTCATAGCACACCTCGTCTCATTGCAACATCAATGAAGGACAGAAGACGTAATCTACATGAGAGGTTAGTAGCAAAAATACTTATAAATTATATTTTATATTTGTTATTAATAGTATCATGGAAGATGATAGTTGGGAGGACTCCACTTTGCCTCGTCCTCTCCACACTAATACAGTAATTATGAATAATAATTTGCAATGAATTAACTAATATTCTATTTATGAGGTCGACGATGAGACCATGAAGAGAAAAATGAAAGAGATTGAGGAAAAGACGAAACTGGAACTAGAAGAGCAGCTGAAGAAAGAGTACGAGGAGCAGTTGGCAGAAAAACTGAGAGCAGAACAAGAAGAAATAGAAAGAATAAAGGAAGAAATGAGACTAGAGAAAGAAGCAATGGAGAAACAAGTAAGGCTATAGATCTACATGTAATAAAAGATGTCAATCTGTTATTTGAACTGCTGTATTACTTTAATATCTATGGTTGCTTACAGTTGCAGGATTTGTCAGCAAAAGAAGGCGGGGAAAGCATTACTGATAAAGAGAAATTAGAAGAAGAGATATGGAAGCAAGCAGAAGAGAGTTTAAGGCAAGAGCTCAAAGATCAGATAGAAAAAGAATCACAACAAAAACTGAAAGAAGTAAGATCAAGATATTTAAAAAATTAATATTTTAATTTATTGTTTAGGAGTATGATAAGTTATTGGAAACGTCACTTGCAGAGGAACGAAAGAAGACAGAGGCAGAGAGAAAAATAAGAGAAGAGTTGGAGAAAAAACAGCGAGAGAAGAATGTGATTGAAAGGGAAAAAGAAGAGCAAAAGAGGATAGAGATCGAAGACAGAGCAAGACGTGATGCTGAGGATAAAGCAAGGAGGGAGTATGAGCAGAGACTACAGAGAGAAAGTGAAGAAAAAGCAAGATTAGCTGAAGAGGTAATCAATGAAGAATATAATCTTTAATTTATTATTGTGCGGTCTTTCTTGTAGATCAAGTCTTACAGATCTATTAAGATGGAAATGGAGAGTGAAAGGGATCAGAAAGAAAGGCTTGAGAAAGCAAAGAAAAATGCTGAAAGGAAAGCAGAGGAAGAGGAGGCAGAAAAGGAAAAGATTAGAAAGAAGTTAAAGAAAGAGAAAGAAGAAGCTGAAGAAAGAGCTGAGAAAGAGGAGGCAGAGAAGAGAAAAATAGAAAAGCAATTGAAGCGTGAGAAAGAAGACGCGGAAGAAAAAGCAGAGAGAGAAGCAGCAGAGAAACTGAAGCTGAAAGCATTGCTGGAAAAGAAGGAAAAAGAGCTGGAAGAAAAGGTATAAGAAATGAAATAATCAAGGAGTAATAGTTATGATGTTAATATGGTATAGGAAAGGGAACATGCTGAGAGAGAAGCTGCATTAAAAGCAGAGCAGAAAAAGCAAAAAGCCAAACAGCAGCAGGTGAAACCAGTTCAGCAGGTTATAAGAAAAGAACCAGAAGCAAAAGAGGAATCAGAAGATGAAGAAGAAGGAATGGACGAGGATGAGGAGGAGGAACTGAGGAGACAAGAAGAAGAAGAATTGAGAAGACAAGAGGAGGAGGAAGAAAGAAGGAGAGAGGAAGAAAGGAAGAAAGAGGAGAAGAGGAAACAGCAAGAGAGGAAGAAAGCTAAACAAGAAGAAGAGAGGAGAAAGAGGCAACAGGAAAGAGAGCTTGCCAGACAGGCTGAAGAAGAAAGACTGAGGAGGATGAGGGAGGAAGAGGAGAGACAGCAAAGAGAGGAAGAGCAGAGGAGACAGAGGGAGGAAGAGGAGGAGAGAAGAATGAGAGAAGTGGAGGAAAGGAGACAAAGGGAAGAGGAGGAGGAAGAGAGACGTAGAGAAGAAGAAGAAAGGAAAAGAATGGAAGAAGTAAAAAAATAACAACCAATAATCTTTATTTTTTATAATTAATATAGAGACGTTTGTCGAAAGAAGGCAGTTTCTTTGACCCTGTTCTAATGGATGAGCTAGTTATAAGCAGTTTACCAACACAAGCTCCAGCTCCTACTGGAGGGAGCTCAGCATCGTCAAGGCCACATGTAACGTTTCAGGACCAGAAACAGAAGGAGCAGAAAATAATAGAAAATGAGAGGAAACTCGCCGAGCAAATGCTTGCAGTCCGTCTGAGGGAAAAGAAAAATGAGAGCAAAGAAGAAGAAGAAGGACGGTTCTCGTTTGCTGGTTATACTAATCTGAAGGGGACAATGGCCAAAGTAACAGTGAAGAAGGTGAACAAGAAGCTAGGCATTGCTGTGGATGGAGGGTCCAATACCAAGCAGAGAGCAGTCATTGTTAGACAAGTTGTGGTAAGTGCATAATACCAGGGATATAATAGACTAACGTAACCGGGATTGGTTACGGACTGGAAATCAATTATCAGACTCTGTTATTATTCATTAAATTAATGGCAGCAATCAATGGCATCTTAGCAAAATGGCTGAATGTAAATTGTTATAACTAAAAAACCAGCAACAGGAAAAATTCAAAAACAACTTTAAACAATGTAAAAACATGTAAAGGGTCTCTTTATTGTAGTTTCATAGCAATAGAATGTAGTCTATTCTCCTGAGAGGTACGCAAAAGTCGTACCATGGCAAACTGGTTTTTCTTGAATATTTCCTGAAGAACACTCTGGAGAAACAAGAGAAGTTGCCTAAACAATGTAATAAAGTAAGTGGCAACATTTCATGACAAAAACACATTCATAGAAACAAATATTTGGGCTACAGAGGTACGCAAATGGAATTTTAGCCGTAAATTGAAGATTTAAACAATTTAAAACAAATATTAACTTACAATAACCTATCAGAACCTTGAAGCCGCCATTATAACTTTGCAGTAGATTTTTCATAAAGCTAAATGCATTTTTAAAAGAGAAAAGAGCAACTTCATACTCCAGACATTGACAGTCGCCATCTTGAAAATCATAACAGAGACTGCAAAAAGTTTTTATACACAAATGATGCGCTCACGTGATCCCGTTGCCAATCCCGGTTACGTTAGTCTATTATATCCCTGATAATACATAAAGTACATGTACTATAGAATGGGCTATAGTATTTTTCAGGTTTTGGTATATTTCTTAAAATAGCCGTAACTTGAAAAATTTAAGTCAGAATCAGCTCAAAATTTTTACATAGCATAAGAACATCAATATGTATCAAAAAATGTAATAAAAATTTGGGGTCATTTTTCGGCCATTTTTCGGGAAAAACCATGGGCTATAGTACAGGGTATTTTTCAGATTTTGGCATATTTCTTAAAATGGCCGTAACTTGAAAAATTTAAGTCGGAATCAGCTCAAACTTTCTACATAGCATAAGGACGCCATTATGTATCAGAAAATGTAATAAGAATTTGGGGTCATTTTTCGGCCATTTTTCGGGAAAAACCATGGGCTATAGTACAGGGTATTTTTCAGATTTTGGCATATTTCTTAAAATGGCCGTAACTTGAAAAATTTAAGTCGGAATCAGCTCAAACTTTCTACATAGCATAAGGACGCCATTATGTATCAGAAAATGTAATAAGAATTTGGGGTCATTTTTCGGCCATTTTTCGGGAAAAACCATGGGCTATAGTACAGGGTATTTTTCAGATTTTGGCATATTTCTTAAAATGGCCGTAACTTGAAAAATTTAAGTCGGAATCAGCTCAAACTTTCTACATAGCATAAGGACGCCATTATGTATCAGAAAATGTAATAAGAATTTGGGGTCATTTTTCGGCCATTTTTCGGGAAAAACCATGGGCTATAGTACAGGGTATTTTTCAGATTTTGGCATATTTCTTAAAATGGCCGTAACTTGAAAAATTTAAGTCGGAATCAGCTCAAACTTTCTACACAGCATAAGGAAGCCATTATGTATCAGAAAATGTAATAAAAATTGGGGGTCATTTTTGGGCCATTTTTCGGAAAAAACTATGGGCTATAGCCCATGGTTTTTTTTCAGAAAATGGCCTATTTTTTAAAATGGCCATAACTCGAAAAATTTAAGTCGGAATCAGCTCAAACTTTCTACATAGCATAAAGACATCAATATGTATCAAAAAATTTAATAAAAATTGGGAGTGATTTTTTGGCCATTTTTCGGAAAAAAGCATGGACTATATAGCCTTGGGTATTTTTCAGATTTTGGCTAATTTCTTAAAATGGCTGTAACTTGAAAAATTTAAGTCGGAATCAGCTCAAACTTTCTACACAGCATAAGGACATCAATATGCATCAGAAAATGTAATAAAAATTGAGGGTCATTTTTTGGCCATTTTTCGGAAAAAACCATGGGCTTTAGTACAGGGTATTTTTTAGATTTCGGCATATTTCTTAAAATGCCCGTAACTTAAAAAATTTAAGTCGGAATCAGCTCAAACTTTCTACACAGCATAAGGACATCAATATGTATCAGAAAACATAATAAAAATTTGGGGTCATTTTTTGGCCATTTTTTGGAAAAAACCATGGGCTATAGCCTTGGGTATTTTTTAGTAAAGAAATTAGGTTTAATATTATATTTTTCCTACTACACACAGCCTGATGGGAGTGCTGCATTGACTGGTAAAGACCTGGAGATAGGGCAGCAGATACTGGCAGTCAACGGAAAGTCTCTCAAAGGATTGAAGCACAAAGATGCTGTCATGGCCATCAAAAATGCGTTTGACGGTCCAATGCAAAAAGTCATTGAATTTGATATGTTAATACCCGATGCTAGTTAAAAAACTTAACATTTTAAAAACCTTCATTATTTTACATGTACATGTACATGTACTTCATATATTTATATTATTATATCTATTGTTGGCTATTGTTGTCCTTCTTGTTTTTTTACTAGTTTTTAAAAACTTTTTTAAACATTTTAAAATATAAATCATCAATAATTGTCGAATTAAGTAGGAAAATGATACAAAAATAACAATGGTAATAATAATAAATAATAATAATATAAATAATTAGTTCGACTTAAATTTAACAGTCTGAAAAGACAAATACGTCAAATAAAAATTAGCCAGTAGCATTACCAGTGAACAAAAGGAGACAGTTTGATAAGCAGCATACCAGCCGTAACTGCTGACTATGATACTAAATGGATATCCAGCCAAAAAACTACCAACTAAAGAAAGAAAAGAAAGAAAGCAATTAGTTTAATGAAAAGAGAGACAGCTTTTGCAATCAATAAACTGAACTATGCACATTTATAATTACATGTAACAGTTTATACTGGAGTCAATCAGTGGAGTATAAAAGTGCATGCTTTAATGACAAGTGTCGCTAAATTTGACACCTTCCAATCATCAAAAATTTAGCAATTAGCCAAATTCGCCAGTTGCAAGCTACAAGGTATATAGTGAATATTTGTACATGTACATATGTACAATTGATGTCCTACATGCATATGTACATACACCTTATGTACAGTATGTACCTTGACTAAAGGCACAGGTGAATCCATGAGCAGTGCTTGCTAAGTGATCAGGAACACAACTCATTGCAGTTAGACCTATCAACGCTACTGCTCCATCTAACATTATACCAGTTGAAAAACATACCATGTCAATCCAAAACTAAATGTATTATAAGAAGAGAGAAATAACAAACATAAGTGGCTTTTAAAAACATTCAGTTTGCTTACTTGAGAAGAAGATTTGTCTAAAGTTGTAGCGAATAAGATGACACAGACCATTAGGCAAGCACAGGACATCATTAATGCAGGAGCTCGGGAAACCTTTGACCTCTCGGGGACCTAAAAAAATATGAGGTCAATTAGATTAAAGAATATTGTAACGATTGTATACATATAATACAGGGAAATTCAATAAGACTATAGTACAGGGAATTTGGTCCAGTTTTGGAACAACTTTAAAAATTTGTAAAAAATCCAATATTGATCGGAATCGCCTCAAACTTTCTACACAACATAAGAACATGCATAGAGCATATATGTACATATGTAAGTGTATATCTGACACTGATAATAATAATAACATACTATCTTAATTGTTTTATCAGATATGTATCCCCAGATTATGTTTCCAAATATGCCGCCAAACTGTATCAACCCAACACTAGTAGCAGCTGGAAAAAAACATTTAAATCAAATTAATTAAAAATTAATAATTATTACCTGTAATTTCTGGTACTTCTAAGAATTGCATAAAATAAAGCTGGCCCCAATCTGTGATTGCGTATTTAACCATGTATAATATGAAATATATCAAGCTAACGGTCCATATACTTCTCACGTACAATATATCAACTAATCTCATCGATGAAGAACTCTCTCCTCCTACTTTCTCTATGCTTTCCGGCTTGTCTTTCAATTCAAATAATAATATTAACGTCAGAAAACAAGACGCACCTCCAATGATGTAATAATTACTGTCCCACGAAACGGTTGAAGTGATATAGGCGATGATGAAAGGAGAGCAGGTAGCTGCAAGGTTTCCACTACTTGATATGACACTCCACGCTATTCCGAGCCTATCTGGTACCCAAGCCTTTAATAATTTAGATGCGGCAGGCCAACCCGAGCCTTGAAATAAAGCGGCGATGGCCCACAAGAAGGCACACATGTACGAGGAGTGACAAAATGGGAACAGTATCACTAATATTCCACTGAATAGAAGGCCGGTACAAAATAGCCATTTTGGGCTAACGTGGTCTGCCACTACACCACAGACGAGTTTGTTTATGCCATAAGCAAACGAGAACGAGGACGCAATCATACCCAAGTCCTTCTCTGTGTAGCCTTTGTGTTTCATTAGGTGAGGCATGGTGGAAGTGAATGTCTTTCTACAGGCGTAATAAAACGCCCAGCCAACGAAGAGGGATATTACCAGCCTCCATTGCTGTATTGTTCTTGTCTCCATGATCTAGCCAGGCTGCTACATAAGTCGGAGGCTGTTTTAATTGTACAAGAACACTTAGAACAAGGTATTATGGCTGGAGCTGGCTTTTGTGGTGATCATTAATTAGAACAAACCAGTGTGTTCTAATTAATGCGCACAAGATGTCCTATTTTGAGCAGCAATATGGAACTGCAAGTATGTTGTTGTTTGTTGTTGTTTGTTGTTGTTTGTTGTTATTATTGTTGTTGTTTTTTAGGTCCAATGAGCGTAGGACCAGGTCCCAATAGACTAGCATTCACTAGAAGAGGAGGAGGAGGAGTAGAGTCTCCATCAATGCAGGCTGATACTGGGTACCTGCCCTGTTACCTCTTGGGATCAAACAGTTCTAGTAATGTTAAAATGGTAAATAATTTTTATATAGTTTCTACCTGGACATACAATATAAGCTGGTAATTTTTGAGGGGCAAATTGTTAAATTTAATGATTGCGTGGTGGGTTTTAATTTGAAAAATTGTGGACATGTGCTATTGAAAAATCTCTTATTTTTATAATTTACTGAGTATTTGAGATATACTATTCCATTTATATGTTCCGTTTTATTTTGATTTATACAGGCTCAGTTATCTGGTAGTGGTAGAAGAGATGGAGTGGGAGGGGCCACGAGAGGAATGGGCGTGGCTAAAGCTAATCAAATTAGAATTGAACCTTCACCAATCAACAGAACAAAACAACCAATGATTAACGGAGACAGGTAATTCTACTTAATTTATTATTATTATTATTATTATTATTATTATTATTAATTTGTCATTAATTACCTTTTTATTAACTATCATTATTTATTAATAGTTATTATTATTATATTTATTAACTATCAATGGTTATATTATTATTATTATTTTATTTTTAGGGCTGTTCATGACATGAGGCCATTATGTGGCCCACCAGTTGACAGTATTCACAATAACACCCCAAACACCTTCACTGCTGGTGCTAGTACTAACAGTCATAGTCACACTTACCAATATACATCATCACCTGAAAGAAAACAGGTAACATAATTTTTATTATTATGACATAATATTTTGAGTATTAATAAAATAATATTTTATTTTATTGTATTGATGTAATGTTTTTTTGGTGCTTTTATAATAGCACAATTTGTGAAAGTAACCTCTCAGAAATCAACTAGTTATTACTGCTGTAATACTAGTATAAAATTTAATCAATTAATCAGAATTATTTTATTATTTTTTTATCATATATTTAGTTAACATTCAGTGGTATCAAACACATGCAGCAAGCCACGCCCATTTCTCCTTTCACTGGCATCACAAACGGAACCTCATCAGGTTAGGAATATTTTAATTGATTATTGCCATGGTAACGACAACAATAATACAGCCACTAGCACTGGTAGCAAGCTAACGTCATCTCCGAATCAAATAGATCCATTTTATAGTCAAGGGTTAGTGGTCATCATCATCATCAGCATCATCATTATTATTATTATTTAATTTTTAGGGACAGTGAATACAACACTAGTGATCAGTGGGTTACTGTGTTTGGGTGAGTTACTTGGTACATGTACAATCAAACCTATTTTATTCTGGACACCTTGGGACCCAATAATACTGTCCTGATTATGAACCTGTTCTTATTTTTAATGCCTAATGTCTTGTTTAAAATTGTGGTATTTAGATTGAGAACCTACTTTGTGAAGTAGACAAAACATTTAAGAAGTACATGTACATGTGTATGGTTATTGAAGGAGTGGGGTTAGAGCAACCCTACTGGTGTTAATGGAAGTGGTAGGTTGTGGTAGGTCCTTGTGGGTTTACTGAACCCAACTGTTGTTTGTATGCAGCAGGTGCAACGTCCAAATGTGTGTCAGAGAGTTCAAATTATTATAACCCTATTAATATAACCACAGGTTTCCTCCATCAGCTGGTTCGTTCATACTGGAGCAGTTCTCACAGTATGGGACTATACTAAAACATGAAGTACAGTACTTTTAATATATTGGTATATTATTATTGATTATATTATATCATTATTAGATGAGGGATGGCAATTGGATTCACTTACAATACCAGACTAGTCTTCAAGCTAAAAAAGTATAGCCACTTTATAGATTGATCCCTTTATTTTTCAATGCATTGTTAATAGGCTTTAAGTAAGAATGGTAAAATATATGGAGATGGGATTATGATTGGAGTACAACAATGCATTGATAAAGTAAGTTTGAATTACGATTTATGTAGATTGTAAATTAATAGCCTGAGCCTCTATATAATGGACACTTTGGTACAAGAAAGTGTCTCTGTTATACAGAGGTGTCCTTTATGTGGAGGTTATTTTATACAGTAAGGAATGTAATCGGTACACTAGGTGCTGTCCGTTAAATGGAGGTGTACGCTATAGAGAGTGTCCATTAAGAGAGGCTATACTATTTTATCAAACTTGATTGTAATTATTTTTGTATAATGATTATTATTATTTTGTAGTCCATATTGGGTAAATGTGCTAATACTCCAGACACTGGTTCCCTAAAGAAAACAATGAGACCACTAACAGCTGCTTATCAAGCATCCAGTTCAAATAATAGCGTAAATACCATATTTATTTATTTATTTTATTTATTTATTTATTTATTTATTTTATTTTGTTATTTGTTGCTAGGTTGTGCCTTCAAATCCTAATACTCCACAGAAAAGCACTGGTTTTCTATCAAAAGCTATGGAATACGTTTTTGGATGGTAGAACTCTGTGACACATTGGTTTTATTTTTATCGTTCTGTTATTTAAAAATTAATAATAATTGAAATAAAATTTTAAAATTAGTCCCGCTCGATTACCCGCGAAACTCACGTGAGTGGGCGTTGACGTACTAGCAGCCCCTCCCACATCGTATGTTCACTGCACTCGCACCCCTTCGCTCTCTTTCCCCCTTTCTGAAGAACTCCTTCGCTTCTTTCTCAAGTAGATTTGGATTCAACATTACATTGAATGTTAGAGCCTCGTTTATTTAGACATGGAAGTGATTCACGAGGTATGCATGAATCCTGTTAGGCTGTTACCATATAAAGTAGCAGATTATTATTGTTATTATTGTTCCGTACATGTACATGTTCTATATACACGTACAATAATATTCAAATTGTTAAGTGACTTGTGGACCGAAATATGCATAAAAGGATGACTCGGCATCTGCTGGCAAGAATTATGTCATGCTCGCCCACGCACTTTATTAAATATCTGTTTTGTAATCCTGAGAAAGTACATCCTTTTTAAGTTGCATGTCATGTGCCCGCTAATTACTTGTTTATTTATGGATTATAGTTTTCGTGACCGGATTGTGTCATACTCTTCGGTAATAATAGATTACAATCGAATAAGTATATGGACATAATGCACATAAATGTCGTAATGATGGTCAATTAGGAATCAACTGAGAGCAAATATTTCCACATGACGTAATGTTGTCCAGTCATTACAGGCTGATATCATTCTGATAAACAAAGATTACAGTCTTCCTTTCCGTCTCGTTGTCTCTCACCGTTTCCCACTTTCTCTTTTACTATTATGATTATAATATAATTACTCCTCTTTCTCTCTCTCTCTCTCTCTCTCTCTCTCTCTCTCTCTCTCTCCCTCCCTCTTCTTAGGGTGTCTTAGAGATTGGTGTTAAACCTGATAGCAAATCAAGCAAAGATTGGACTTCGAGATTATTCGTGTTGAAAAACTACACCTCCACTGGTCGAGCTACACTCGATTTTTATAAAAGCACAAAGAAAAGGTGGCAGAAGCAGTCGATAAAAGGTGTCATCTCCTTGTGGCCTAGCTTCAGCCTCTCCATAGCTCACCAATGCAGCTATAAATTCACACTGAGACTAGAGACGCCAGAACAAATTGTTTTCTTGGCTGCTCCATCGCAAGCGTTAATGAACAGGTGGTATTATTTCATTCAAACACAGCATATCTTGGTACCCATGCATGACATGTATTTATTCAACGTTCAAGGAAGAGATTCCGAATTTATGAATATAATTGGCGCTGTGGGCGACTGTCAACTTGTAATAACGACGGAGTGTAGATTGATGGCTATAAAACTTCCAAAAAAGGAAGTCCTCTGTATTTGGCCTTTTGATACATTAAAGACGTTTTCATACGGGGGCGGGCTGTTCTCTTTCACGTCCGGTCGCCATTCACCACACGGGCCTGGGGACTATGCATTCATTACAACACAGGACAAATTGATCCACGATTCATTGCAGAAGTCGATTGATAAAGCACGAAGAGGCAGTACTATATCTTCAGGTAGTTCCAGTCATCTCAGTGTATCCGAACGCCCACCTGCTAAATTACCTTCACCAGGTGGGCTGTTCATGCATAACGAAAGAGACGAAGACAGTAGCTCGGATGTTGTAACTAGCAGTAGCGAGGAAAATCAATTAGGAGGTGTGGTTTTGGGCGTAGCCTCTAATAATATATACACAGAGGCTGACGTGTCTCCTTCCCATCCTCCCCCACTGCCTAATCAACCTCCACCTAAGGTACCACCAAAAGGATTGCCTGGGGCGGTGCCAGGGAAGGCGTGGCTTCATGATCGATATCAGTCTGCATCGCCAGAAGTGGATATGACTGGTAACGAAACCGGAGGAGATCATTTATATTCTCATACAGTTCATCCTGGTAAGGTCACTAGTCCAGTCGAAGAAAATCCGTCAATTTATAATGCTTTGGTACATAACGGGAAGACTGCAAGTGCCAATTACGAATTAGCGTATCCCAAACCGGCCCAACAGGTAATTCAAGGGACTGAAAATTACTCGTTCATATCTCAAGACTCAGCGAAAAAAAACACCAAGCCAGTCGATATTGCTCCTCCTGCCCTGCCCATAAGTCCCGTTGGCATGACGACCAATCCCTTATATGGCTCGAGCGGTAATCTTTTAGAAGCAGTCGAGTCTGCGTCCTCACTGTCTCCTAGCAACAAGCCACTCCCACCAGAATTGGTCACCGATCCACTTCCTTCTAGTGATCCTCTTTCTGAAGTGCAAAATGTACCACAAGAAGAGAAACCCAAACAGCCTACAAGACCGGACGTTACAGCTAACCCTACTTACGTTACAACAACTTTAAAAGAAGCTCCACCTACAGCTCCTACAACCGAAAACAACCAGCCCACCATCACGACTGCTATCACTGAAAACGATGATCCCAAGCCCCCGCCAATACGTGAATATTCAAAGGTATCTAAACCGGTCCCGTTCCCAGAGGTTAGTAATGGGTCTGAGAATATTCCAGGGTCCCTTGGCTCTGATATCATAGCTAGTTCGGTTAGTTCTGATCCACCTCCCATACCTGAGAGAGAGTACAGTTTCAGTGATTGTGACAATACCAACTGACTATTAATCTTATCCCAATATCCTGTTCAATAATATCGTCATTAATTTATTATTATTATTAAATTTTTTGATTTTATTTCTTTCCATTATCTAGATTTTTATTATAACGTTTGTGCAACTGATTGATTGATTGATTTTTTGTTTGCAATAATTTGACAAAAAAAACAATGTTAAAGCAGCAGCCAGCAGCTGTGTGTATACATGTAACTATGTGCAAGCTCTTTGTGTGTGTGTGTGTGTTTGTCTATTTTTGTTTTGGTTTGTGCATTTTTCTAGCTTTGACAGAAGTTCTTTTTCTATTCACTTGATGTGAGTAAGTGCTTTGTAATGTTGACACAGATGTTGGCTCTTCTCCTTTCTCTCCTCCGTCTCCTTTGACTGGTGCTACATGTACATGTACTTCTGCTAATGTTCCACTCATTCTTGTCTCTTTCTCTCTATGCCCTTGTTTTTTTCTTGTGGCTTGTTCTGCAGTACTCTCAGTTTTTCTTGTTTTCTGTTGCTCTCCACTTTTGTTTAATGGTGGTGGAATTCTAGCTTGTATTTTATCAGTTTTATGCTCTTTAGTAAGTTTAGCTTGGGTTTTGTCATCTTTATCCTCTTCTTTTGTTACCACTGGGATTGATAATAATTGTATTTCTTCTGTTGGTTTTGATTCCTTTTGTTTTAAGAAATGATCATGATCTGTTGTCTTCTCTTCTTTAAGCCTTTTCTCTTCATCTGATTCTGAATAATGATGTACCCTATCACTGCCTTTAATGTCTTGATTTGTAGCATCAGAATCTTTAACTTCACTTTGATGAATATCTCTAGGAATATTATCATTCTCATGTTCATTTGATGCGATGCCGATTGATGGAACACCAAATGTCAGTTGATCTTCATCTCCTATAGTGTCTCTAGTTACAAGATGTCCTCTGACTCCTCTTTTACTCCTCTCTCTTTTCACTGTTGGTACTTGCAACCTTGTCATATCAAGGCTTAATTTCTGTGTAGCTTGTTCCTTAAAATCATGTCGAGTAGCGTCTTCCATTTGTCCTCTTACAGTCTCTCTTTTTGCCATCCCAGGGCTGCCTGATATTAAGGAATCTCTTACTTGATGATGTACTTCAATTCCTATTGTTGATCCACCTCTTGGAGTAGGATCAAATAATGTCTTTGATCTACACACAACAGGTAATGCATTGGTGCTCTGATTAGATGATTCTTTAGCTATTACTGGCTTAGTAAGATTACTGTTGCTCAGCTCTTCTCTTGATGGTAGTCTGGCTGGCATACTTAGTCTTGATACTGATGCCAAGTCTCCTCTTGATAGAACTAGAGCACTTCGACTCCGTATCAGTTCAGAATCAGTTGTTCTTATTTCTGGTATCACTATGTGTACTTCTTTACTTTCATTTGCTTCAGAAACTGTTCTGGTGTGCCTACTATTATTATTGTCATTTTGATGTTGCTGGTGATTAGTGTCTTCATTATTCATTGGCTCTTCAGTCAGTTGTTGTCTTGGGTTATGCTGATTAATCATGGCATCAGATGCTCCAGGGTTCCTAATCAGTCCTCCTTCATCTTCGGTGAAGATAACATTACGTCTATTACCAAACAACCTGTTCAATATTTTATAAACAATATTCGATTCGCTGCCATCTTCTTCAACAACTGCCCCACTATTAGCTACCAGTTGATGATCTTCATTTAATATTACTAGTAGTCTTGGTTTGTATGTCTCCATTGTGACATGGTGTATTCTTTTGGGTATAACAATTGGTGCTTTGAAAGCTCTTAGCGTTATATTGCAGTGAACCTCATCATGTATCACAATGACTTCTCTCATCTCATCTGTGATATCAATGATCTGTGGCAGTGGTTTGCTGGGAATAGGTTGAGCAATGTAAGAGTTCTCACACATATTGGAGAGCATGTTGACAGTAAAACTCTATAATGAAATGATATTAAAGTATTACATATTATACTTCTGTATGTACATGTACATGTACATGTATGTACATGTACATGTATACAGTACATGTGTACATGTATGTACATGTACACATGTATATCTACATCATGTACTGATACTGCTATTACATGTACATGTACATATAATAAATATAATACATGTAATACATATAAGTTATGACATATACTTCTGTATGTATGTACATGTACATGTACACATACTTGGTATTGAGGCATGTTCTCCAGTAGAGATGGTGCTATTCTAGTTCCATAAATCTTCCACAGTCTTTCCTGTAGTATAGGAAACTGGTCCATTATCCTAAGCAAATCGTCACATTCAATGAAAAACGTCTATAAAAAAATGAGACAATTAAAATAGAATAATAAAATTATTAATGTAATTTTAAGACTATAAAATTTAAAAAATAATATAATCCTATTTTTACGATACTTGTATATCTGTTTCACAGACAAATCCTATCTCAGAGTGCTTAGTGATATTAAGGATCATTCCTAGTTCTCCAAGTATATCTCCAGGTCCATAGAAATCGATAATAATTTCTTCAGGCCCTTGATCAGTTAGTGCAGTTGCTACAGACTGTAAATAAGTTTGATTATTTTTTTACTATGATAGTTAATTAATGCAATTTTAAAATAACTTGTTGTCATGTACAATTTGTCTGTACACTTCATACACGGTATTGGCAAAATGATATGTACTGTACATGTACATGTACATGGTCAGAGGCAATAAGGCTAAAAAATCACCCCAAATTTTTATTACATTTTCTGTTACATATTGGTGTCCTTATGCTATGTAGCAAGTTTGAGCTGATTCCGACTTAAATTTTTAAAGTTACAATCATTTTTAAAAATTTGCCAAAATCTGAAAAATACCCAAGGCTATTATAGCCCATGCTTTTTTCCAAAAAATGGTCAAAAAATCACCCCCAATTTTTATTACATTTTCTGATACATATTGATGTCCTTATACTGTGTAGAAAGTTTTAGCTGATTCTGACTTAATTTTTTCGGGTTATGACCATTTACAAGAGCAAGAACTAACTTTAACAAGTCCAGAAATAAGAATAAAAACTCCAGTCAAAGGCTCGTTCTTCTCAATGAGAATGTCATCAGTGTCAAACTGCTCTATTGTAGCACACTTTCTCAGATTAGCAATAACATCAGGACTCAGACCATTGAGCCAGGATATCTGAGAGAAGAGCGTCTCTGGGCAAGGAGTGGGTAGACTTGCTTGCGTATTTTCAAGGGATTTTTCCTTTTTCTCAATTAGCTACAATAAAGTATTATTCATTTATAAGTATGTAGTGTACATGTATGTGATTATTAATGTACGTACCATCATTAGTTTAGCTGCATCAGTTTCATCAAGCAACCCATTGCTTAGTTGTGTTTTTACAGTTTCTTGACAATTATTCAACACTGCCCTTGTCGCGTGATGCGTCTTTATAGATAAAGCTATTCCTGGATATTCTTTCCTTATAAGTCCAAGGCTCCTTATGACGCAGAGTCTGGTCTCTTCGATTGCTTTTTTAAATTTTAAAGCAATTGAGTCGTCGATGTGTTTGAAGCTTTCGAACTGTGAGAGGACGTCTTCTTCGCCGACAACGAAACCACGGCCAATGTCGTAGCCAACTCTCAAATGTCTATTGGCAAAATAGCCAATCATTTTCAATATCAGGGGAAGCACGGTCTACAATAGTGAAAATAAAAATATTAATCATTTACTATCATTAAACATTTTCTCTCACTTTCTTTGCTTGTATGAAACGTAGCAAAAATATAAGAGCCGAAGTTCTGAGGACTATTCGTACGGTTGCACTTGAAGAATACAACTCAGAGACAATGACTTCGCTCATTATTATTAGTAATATCAACAGTTCGAGATAGCTCCATTTCGATTTCCAGTAATATTGCCTCAAACCAATAATCTACATGTTATTTAAAGATATTATAACATTTCTTTTATATTACAACTGTTTACTTTTATTATCGACTCCAGCAGATAAACAGAGCAGAATATGGCGTTGAGAATTTTAAAAATGAGAAATACAACATCCGTTGCACTAAACTGATACATCACTGTTATTTCAGTGACAGAGAGTGTGACATTCATTATGATAGCAGCTATAACAAGCCATTCGAGATAAGATGACTTGGCGATGATGTAAAATAATTTCAAAAATGCATTAGTAGGCAGAGGGACTATCTGAGCATTGTTCCTGACCACCCAGTCAACGAGTTGATTCTACAAAGAAAACAATTAATTATTAATAATTATTGTTAATCATCGCAAACTGACTATCTTTGGGTATATCCTGGGAATGCTCCAGTGTGGTGAAATATCATCAATTGTAATTAATCTATGATAATAAAAATGATAGTTAATAGTACTTTTTCATAGCATTTTTAAAAAATAACATTTAATAACAAGAGGGAATGAAATAAAAATAAATAAGTAATAACTCGGACTCATTGTGAAAAAAGAGCTTAACAACCAGCAAGTTGATAAATGATAAATATTTAGTTATAAGAGAATTAAAGTGTATTACTATTTAATTATTATTATTTTATAGTATTACTGACCTTTCAGGAATATCAAGGACAGTATCAGCAAGGTTGATCAATACTCTTGCAGCTTCCCTGCTTAGCATCCCAAGCTCAAATTGATGCCAATAACTAGTTTTCTGTCTCTTTACAATCAATCTCCTTATTTCTTCCATTATTTCACTATGCTCATTCTGAGTATCATCAGTGTCCAATGCAGTCTGATCAGTTATCTTACAAGGAAGTAGGTTGCTCCCCCCTATAAAAGCTAATCCAGACTTCTACAGTACAAAAATGATACAAGAATTGATAAGAATTGTTAAAGCTAATTCTATTAATGTGAGAACATGAACTATAATTAGATTAAAATGCAGCAACTTCCAGCATTTTGACTCCCACTCATATTACACCCAAATAGTCAACATTGCTTCACCTGTTTACAGTAACACTAACTCTCCCTTGCCATTATTTACCTTATACGGGTTTGGTATCTCTGCACATTTACCAACAATGTCCCAATCAGCATCGGCAAGGAATCTATCAGCCTTGAGGAGTGATATTGCTCGCATTTTTGTGTCGTGAATCTCTTCAACTGCGGTCGAAACAGTCTTACTTCTCGCAAGGGATATCCTCCTCATTCCAAGTAGATTCAGTAGACACTTAGTCGTCGTTGCATTAATTACTAGAGTGAGCATTACTATGCCAGCTGTGTGAAACAGGACCTGAATTTGTTGTGTGAGGGAGAGAGAATTTAGAGGGAGGAGGAGGAGGTAGGAGTATGCAAGGAAAAGAGTATCACGTAAACAAACAGAGTAGGCTTATATTGTTACAAGATATGACAACTTATACCTATCATAAATTCATTCGGCATGACCATGATATCAAACATTAAATCATGGTCATTATCCTAATAACAAAGGCATTACTTTGCTTCCGACTGTACTGAAATTGATAGCTGTTGTCTCTGCCACCGATAAAGCCAGAGCAAGGCTCACAGCTCCCTTTAAACCGCCCCAAGCTATGACTATTATTTCTCTTATGCTCATCGAGTAGCCGATGTGATTGATGAGTGGGAAAAAGGCCACAGTTACGACCATTCTACAAAAATATGAGAGGGAAAAATGAGTGGATATGGACACCCTGCTAATCTTATTAAAACAGTAACACAAGTCATCTCTTATCAGATTATATAATTACGTGTCGTTGCAGCTATCGGGCAACATAGCAACAACTTGAAAATAAACATTTAACAAATCATAAAAATAACAAAAGCTAGGACAAAAAATAACATTACAAAACACCGAACGCTAGCCCCAAGGGGCATGACAAGATGATGTCATATTACCTTATTAATATTATTCCAAAATAAAGACCAGTGAGCAATATCCAGTCAGTTCCATTCACGCCTTGAAAAGCATTCTGACGAATGACAATGCCAACGATTATGAAGATAAGTGTGTTGGCAAGATACCCCAAGACTTCCCAAAACCTGCGTTATAACAACAATTAACAAATTGTAACATTGATAATTGTGTATATTCATATCGATAACCAAACAGTGCATAAGAAAAAACAAAGCAGACACAAAGGCAAAAGACAGCTCATTCTGCCCTTCCATTAGCATATCCTACAATTACCTGTGTAGGAATACTTCAACTTCTGGACTTATGTTTGTTTTTCTTGAGTTTATTTCATATCCTAAAGCAACAACTGCCAATACTCCAGAGACTTGGAGTAAATTTTCTCCTACGTAATACGTAACATAAGTCGATACTAGCGTGATAGATATCTCGACTAGCGCATCATTATAGACACGGGAGAGCCAGAATATGGATACTTTTGCCATCAAATATCCAAAAACTGGCCCGCCTACAGCAACCCGTAAAAAGTAGAGAAATATCTGTATAGCTGCATGTATGTACATGTATGCATTGCATAATAAAGGAATGGAGATTATCATAAAAGGCAAACATACAAGTACAAGCATATTTACCATCTCTTCCTCTACCAGGAATTAGCTCATCTATCAAGACGTTGTACAAGACTATGGCTGCACCGTCGTTAAGGAGCGATTCACCCTCAATAATGGTCCCTAACTGCTTTGATGCCCCTGATTTGATATAATTGAAAGAAATGCATGGAATTGAGGAATTATAATATGAATTTTATTGCTCTCCATGCAGTAATTAGTATTGCATTACGTGTGCATGTATATTTTATGAGTATGCAAGTACCTATTTCCTTCAAAAGAGCAACTATAGCGACAGGATCCGTCGCACTCAGGATCGTTCCGAATAGCATAGACACGGTCCACGACCAATGATAGGGAAAGATGTATCTTGTTAGTATTGATAATAGAAAAGAAGAGACTAGAAGCCCCGGGCCGGCCAGCACAATCGCTTGTCCTATCATTTTCTTGAATGTGTGAACGTCAAGTGCAAATGCACTCTCAAAAATGAGGGTCGGTAAGAAGATGATTAACATTAGGTGTGGATCAAGATGAGCAATTTGTAAATAGAGATCGATGAAGGCTAAAGGAGGCCAGCTTGTTACGCCAGCAATTAACATGCCAAGTACTATCAGGACGACTGTGTATGGTAGTGATGTGTTCTTTAACAAATGTCTCACAGCAGCTATTAAAATGATAATTATACAATAAAATGTTGTTAATTGTGTTGCATAATCAATCCATGACAATATTGTCATTGGTGGTTGCTCTCACCTCCAACAGCAAAAGCTATAAACAAGAAGAAAATGGCAGCCGAGTATGTGGACTGATCGTGGGGACCACTAGTGTGATCATCAGTCTGGTTGACAGCAGAAGGTTCATTATCCATAGCCTATTGCACCACTGAGTGAAGACTGACAAGGCTGTTATACTGCATGTGTGGGTGTTACTATGGTCACGCTAATGGCATGCGCAGAGTTATGCTGATTATAAAAGGAGGCTGCTCACTGAAGCAGAACAGAAAGAAAAGGAGAAATTAGTAGTCATATCCTTATATATAACTGTGTAATCAGACAAAATAATGTACAAGTCTATCTTGTCGGGTCGTCAGATCACTACTGCAATAATTCTTGCAGTCCTCTCAATACAGTGGTGCTCCAGCTATGCGAGCCCTGCAGCAGCAGCAACTACTCAAGAGGGTGCCCTATCTGATCCAACGTGGAGGGTGAGGAGAAAGGTTGGAAAATATGCTGGACCAGGTCCCCTGGAATACATGAAGCAGCTCCGCGAGAGTCTTTCTACATCAGAGGGGAGCCCAAACGACATTGAACATATTCCTACCTCAGTTTTGTGTTTGATGGACCAAGGTTTGTCTTTATTATACACCAAACATTCATGCTTTTAAATATTATTATCTATAATATCATAATAAATAAAATTATTTTTATTATTAATCTTATTTCTTTCCTTGCAGATGTCATCAATAATGTTCATCACAAAAAGACTCCAAACAGAAATTGCAAGCTAGAGCAGTCCTTCCTCTTCAACATCACCCAGCTCACCAGCTACAACGATACATACTTACCCCTCTCAGAAGCATTCCTCAGAACATACTTGCAGCCGATCAAGCAAAACCTACAAAGGCGGAATGCAAATGAGGTCAAGGTTGAAGTGAGTATATACACAAAGATCGTAAACTCCGATAATGGTAGCAGTTGCTCTGGAGCTGCCCTCGCTCTCAGAGAAGAAATGACGATATATGCTGATGAGGAGGACCAGTGGACAGAGTGGAACATCACCGATGGAGTCAAAGAATGCTGGGAAAACAAGATGGAGGATGGAGACACTCTAGAGGCAATAGTACAGTTCAGATTAAAAGATGAAAGCTGCAAACCCGGACACAAGAAAGTACCTCTTAGAATAGTTGATCCTGCAATTATCCCGACTACCAACAAAATTCGCCGACAGAGACATTGGGATCTCCAACCAGTCATGATTCTCTACCTTGATGACAGCAATGAGAGAGAGAAGCTCAAATCCTCTCTTGGTGAAGACAATGACATCAACAATAATATAGTCGACCTGACAATTGGTAGTGGTGGTGGTGACAATGAGGATCAGGGCAGAGGTAAAAGAAGCAGCAATGACGAGAATGCATGCAAAATTCACAATCTGACAGTCTATTTTCAACAAATTCAGCTAAACCATATAGCCATTCCACAGTCTTATGAGGCCGGGCAGTGCAGCGGTGACTGCTCTATTGCAGTCCAACACCACAACACCTTTACCAATCATGGCAAAATATTAGCATCAATGTACTACTCCTATAACAAAGATAGGGATAATTATCAGGGGACGATCCCTGTAGCCCCTTGCTGCGTTGCTTCTGAATACAATCCACTTACAGTATTAGAATGGGCAACACAGACAACCATAATCATGAAACCATATCCAAGAATGATTGTTAAGAAATGCGAATGCAGAGCATAGAAACTTCTATCCTTATTATTATTATTATTATTTCGTTATTTGGCATTATTATATATATTATATTATTGGTTCTGGAAACTATGCTCCTTATTATGGTTGTAAATACGATTACTTTATTACTATTATTATTATTATATGATTCTACTGCATTTCAAACTTTTTTGCTAAAATAAATATAATTCTTTCAATGTAATCTCTTAAGTGAATTCCGGTTTAAAGCGTAGTATGCGAGTAGTAACAATCCTGCAGGTGCAGTTTAAGCTTCGTGTTCGGCCAAATTACTAAGCAGCCCATGAACAGAATCTCTTAATTCCTAAAACATGATAATTACATTCATTAACTCTCCCACTTCTTGTCCAAGACCCTGCCCTACCTTTCTCCAGTTTGAACTTGTACAATTTGACAATATCTCCATCAAGCCATTCTGGATCAGCTCTTGTTTGATCTCGACTGTAGAGAGTATGTAGGTAGATGTAGTACAAGGGTGTGTGTGTGCAAGTGTTTGTATAGGAGAAAGAAACATGGCAATAATAGATAATCTTTATGCCCACAGTTGTCAAACAGTGATAATCAACGTGTGCTGTACTTGTAGCAAAAAATAACGAACGGTAATCATTTAATTATTAATTCGTACCGTGTTTGGTCATAATATTTATTAGTGCAAGGGTTTGTTCCATTATTTCTTCATGTAGAGCGTGATGCCTGTTGACCATTAATAGAATAAATAAATAAATGAAATCAAATAAATAAATAAATAAACGTACGTAATGTGTACATGTACATGTACATGATGGCATCATAATGAGTCATCAATATAAAACATGCACTGTAGACTATAAACTTAACAGTCATCAATTAGGGCAATAACATGTAGAACCATTATACTTTCACTTTAATGGCTCACCTTATTTTCCCTTAGTGGTCTCTCTCTCTCTCTCTTTGTCTGTCTGTCTCTGTCTGTCTGTCTCTGTCTGTCTCTGTCTCTCTCTCTCCCCCCTCTCTCTCCCCTCTCTCTCTCTCTCCCCCAGTCTCTCTCTCTCCCCCCCTCTCTCTCCCCCCCTCTCTCTCTCTCCCTCCCTCTCTCTCTCTCCCTCTCTCCCTCCCTCTCCCTCTCTCTCCCCCCTCTTACTTTATAACACCAATGATGATTGCTACTCCATTAGGAGTCACCTTTAAATCAACCAAAGCAAAAAACAAGTCGTCTGAAATAAAAACACACACAAAAACAACAAAAGCAATAATAATCAATTTAATATTTTATTCAAAAACAATGCCCACACAAAGCATGTGTGTGTGTTTATCTGTACAATGTAGTAGGTGTACAAGCCAAGAAGCCTTAAGCCCTTAGAAACCATATACAACAATGACAACACATCAAAAACAAATCCTCTACATCATTACAACCTGCATCACTGCAGTCCCTGAGGTGGTTGCTGGTTGTAATGACAATAAAGGGTCCATTAGTACAACTCTCATCATGACAAGTTTTTAACAGAATACCGACGGGCGGCATGACATTTGATACTGAGTCACTGAACTTATTGTATTACCAATGTATGGCTTACCTTTCTCACTGCATATCAGTATGGTCATTTTAATGACTAGCAGGATAATGTCTGTGTTCTTTGTTGATGTGGAAAAAAGAATGAGAGAAATGGAATAATAAAGAAATGGACATTGTTAGATCTGGAAATAAACCAATCTAACTAAAAGTGGAGGCTAAACTAGGGCAACTAGGCTAAATATGAGATACCAAAAGCTACAAATTTTGGGAGGTATACGTATATATAAGAGATTGAAGTCCCCTAAATTCCCTCTAGATCTGACAGTGTTAGCATGTTAACAAACATACATGTACATGTACATGTATATATACTTACTTGAATGTGCTCATGGAGTATCCTTGATAATAAGTTGATGTTATTAGCCGTACTTGTTATTCTGGTTAGGACATCAACTACATAATGGAATTAAGGCGTAAGACGAAGTTAATAAAGATAACAAAAAGTAATTATCAGCATATAAGGACCGCGCTCTCAGAAATAATCAAATATTAATAAATATATGCATCTTAGTGGTCGAACACAGAAGACCTTTCTAATATTAAATATTTATATACCACTACATACCTTATCTAGCACTTAAGAATACAACACATAGCAGTTAGTGGGACCATCGGAATTACTAGCAGCATGTGTATGACATGTGTGTATACTGTAAACGTACACATAATTATATGTGTACATGTATGTGTATGTACGTGTACACATTGAATGTAAGAATGTACGTTGTTTGGGCGAGTGTGACAGGAATGATTCAAGTTATGTAAAGTGAATTTAAATAGCCTCCATTTAAAGGAGCAAAGGAAGCAGAAGAGGAAGGTAGAGTTAGAGAGAGAGAGGGAAACAGAGAAATAGAGAAGAGTGACAAAGGAAGAATGACCAAACACTACGACGTACAGTTATATTGTTTACAACGTTATTTGTTCCTATACGTAATAAGTTATGGAACTAGTGTAGGCTGAGTAATTCCGTTTACCATGGATACAAATTGAACATAATCATTACTCATTTCTGTATTTATACATCAATGCATAGTCTTACCTGAGCGACAAGACTCCCACAATAAGGAAAGCCCTGACAGGACAAGAGAAGAAGATTCAATATGAGAGGATAGTGAACTCAAAGTAAGTTCAACCATTTCACCGGACACGGAAGCATTAAGTACAGACACTAGGTACGAACAAAACCACAAGATCATTTTATTAATTTATTTACCAACTTACTAGGCTTAACAAGATTTAGTAGTACTTTAAAGACAAGTTCCAGAGTGCACGAACTCTCTTTGTGTCGTTTTGATGTGTCCATTAAAGCTAATAGTATCCCAGTGCTTAGTAATTTATTATTAGCACCGGCATGACCTGTATAGCAGAAAATGGACACATGTATATACAAAATAAATAAATAAATAATAATAATGATGAGCCTACATGTACATGCATGGCCATGCAAATAAATAAATGAAGTTAGAGGGTTAGTGATGATATAAATGTTGCAATAAGCGAAAATGATGATGATTAATGGTATATAATCAAGTAATGTAATTAGTATGAAATACAACTACACTGTAATCAAGTAAGCATTTTATTGTGCTGTCTTGTTTTTATTTTTTCTTACACCATGCAAGTATATGCAATTATAATTCTGTACATATATAGCCTTTAGCTTAAAAAAATAAAAACAGAATGCACTAGATTGCATCAGAGGACACAACAAGCGTGACCACAAATAAATAAATAAATAAATAAAATAAATAAATAGATAGATAAATGGAAAAGTTATAATTGGCAGACAGAAAACAAGAGCTAGACTCAGACAGCACAAAACATACAAGGTAAGCCACGATTATCATTAAGGTTCCACAACTAAAGCAACAGGCATGTCAGCTACAGACTAATACTAGACAACCACAGAAATGCTCGTGCTCCTTTGAACTACTCCAGTGCCTCAAGGCTTCAAAATAATAATAATAACAGTAAAGACAATACAGATAGGAATTAAGAACCACATTAACAGGTGGGAAGGCTGTCAAGCATGAGACAAAACAGAGTCGCATGTGTTGTTGTTGTACAAATTACATGGGAAACTATGCTTATGAGTGTGTCTGTGTCGTTATATGCTTTTCATCTTTTGTACTTCCTTGTACCTTTGATGGTAATATCATTTAATAGTGATAAGCCTGAGTTTACGGTTTTGATGTCACTTGAATGTAACTGTATGAGAAGGAGAGGAAAAGAGAGAGAGTGAGAGAGAATTTTAGGAGGGAAGTTGGAACCTCGATAGCAGCTATACATAATGAGAAAACATCAGTGTAGCGATCACTGGATAACAATAAATCTAGAAATGATAATAAGTGATGATAATAATAATCTGTCCCTTTCTGTTTTTCTTTGTATTGGGTGTTGTATGCTGTTGGTTTTTACTGATTGTTTTATAATAATAATAATAATAATAATAATAATCATAAAGACTAGAAGCCCACAAGTTCCTGGGACTATAATCCATGTAAAAAATCACGTAATTATCCTACGTGTAAATATACTTTATAGTGGTTACCATAGGAAAAAATAGGATAAAAGATTAATTAAAGTATTATATAACCGGTGGTTACTAGGAGTACACACCATGAATACAGTAACATAGTGGTTGCTATAGCTAATGCATTTCAAGTGGAATACATTACATGAAGCATGACGTTGCGGTGTAATTGGAACACCAGATGTCAATTAGTGCCATGAATCAGCCGAATGACAGTATGATATCAGAGTGATAAGAAAGAAAGTGGGATATCCGACTTACCAATGTCAGAACCGTAATGTAATACCCTCAACGACTCACATATCAAATTAGAGGAGGAAGTTTTGGCAATACTTAAACCAATTATCAATTCCTGTAAGACTGGCTTCAGTGATATTGAATCATTACCTAATGCAGCTCATATTATATAAGAAATGGGAAAATTCTTGCCTTGCAGTAACTGGATCAAATGTTTAAGTACTTCACATTGCTCAACAACAGAGAACTTATTCCTGCTTAATTTCGCTAATTATAATTTCATTATGCACACAGATGAAATGATAACATCAAATTTAATTATCAATTACTTAGAGAGAGGACTTACTAGCTATGATATCTTGATCATCAGTGATAACTAAAATATTTACAGTGATGTAATACTTAAAAGATATTTATCTTTATTATCTTGCATTACTGTCTAATTCTTTTAGCAAGCCAGAGTCGTACAAGGCTAAAGAATCTTTAATGATCGGCTTGTAGCAAAGGTCACTGACAAAGAGAGAAAAAGAGAGAGAGAGAGGAAGGAAGAGAGAGAGAGAGGTGAAAGGAGAAAGGAAAAGGAAGTTATTAAATGATTTGCGCACACGCACTGTATATACATCAATAAAAAAGCAATTCTAAATCTTATCCATTCTTATGCAACCATCATACAAGTACATGAATAAAACCAACTCTATAATGTTGCATATTCTTACATCGCCAGTGGTCGCTGGTGATAATTTAGCCTCAGCATGGATTGTATCAAATCACTGATTTCACTACCATACTGGGCTTCAACTTCCTTTAAAATCTTACTCAATACCTCGGTGTTGATTCTAAGCTGATATATTAGCGAAAGAAATCCGGTATCCTTCAAATTATATTATTATCATTTAATGTATTATTTATTATTTTACTGTTAGGCACCCGGTCGTGGCCATTTCTAAAATGATGCAACCAAGGGACCAAATGTCAGACCTTTCATCGTAACTGAGGGAGGAAATTAAAAGAGGAAGGATAGAAAGAGGGGAGAGAAGGGGGGAGAGAGGGAGAGAGAGAGAGGGGAGCATAATGAATGAGGTAGTTAATGAACACAGGCTAGTGGTTATGTGTTGTTGTGATGTCATACCATACCTAAAACCATAAGGTGAGGCATCATCGTCCACAAGCTCTGGTGCTAACCATTTAAGAGACCCTAGGTATGACATAATGGTATAGAGTACATGCAATTGTCAGTAAGAGCAGGTGGATTTTTCGTTCATAATTGAAACACAGTACACATAACGTCATAGGATGGACTTGAGTCACTTACCAGGTTTAATTGAAGACCTTAAAGCTGGAGGAGAATCACCTGTTGAGTGTAAACAGAGGTCGAGGAAGAGAAACAGGTGCATATTCTAATGACAATGATCAACTTACCGACACACATGGTATCATTTTCAGATAGGAAGACGTTATTAGTGTTAAGCCTCCTTAACCACAAAGATAGAAAGAGAGAGAAGGGAAAGAGAGAGGGATGGAGTGAAGGGAGAGAGAGTACAATAACAATTAAGACCTAGCTAACTCACTTATGCTGATAATTCTGTCTGTGCATATAAACCAATACCTCAATTAGCTGCCCAGTCCATTTCAGTAATAGCTGCATTAGTAGACCACATATACACAGAGTATACCACAGATACATGCATGTATACATACACGTGTATATCCATAACACGATTACTTATGGACACTGAGATTTAAGACTACGTCACTTACAGTCTTCTCCAACCATTGAATATCTTTCCTTTTACTCATCAACAACTGACCAAGGCTACCTAATAGGTGGGAGATAGTTGCTGTGGAAACAGTTGCTATGCGAGGGTGTTTGTTACCTTTGGGCATGTACTTGGAAATGATGCAAAGGTAAACAGCAGAGTCCTTGAAAGAGAAAGGAGGAGAACGAGAGAGAGAGAGAGAGCAGATTGCAGTGATAACATTAATAATATTGTGTTCAAACCTCTTCGTCCCATTTAATGTAAATATGTTTAGAAGGGACTAAAAATGAGTGCTTCAACTTCTGATAAGAGATCATCTAATAATTGAACAATGGAGTGCTATTGTTATGTAACACAATTACTCAGTAATTTATTGCAGCCATACATTAAGTGCAAGTACACACACATACCTGCTCTTAACATACATGCAACGGTCTACTCTCTCGACCAATGTGCCGCCATAACTCGCATAACTTCGAAGTATTTAAATCATTCGGATACCAGCTAACGCAAGCATGACTTTTGACGTCAGGTAATTGTCAAAGTATGCATATTAATGGGTCTTGTTTGTGTATTATCGGGTCAGTTGTTTACAAAACAATGATGAGAAACAATGTACATACCCACCCACACACACTTTATTGAAGTAGACATTTGCCTCCATCTCATCGATGCACTCAATCTAGTATAACCAATAATAATAATAAGGTAATGGCCCTGTAATCAATAGCTAATGTACTTTCTTCGTCACGTATTGACTGTCTGAAGCCAATTCCTGGACTAACCAAGTAGTATCAGTTAATTGGTCAAGATACTACAAGGAGGAAAGGAAGCCATCAAATCCCTAATGGGTTATACCAGAGACCCACTGACCTTGTACTCCATTAGCTCGCCTGATGGAATTATCTATTTTAACACCTGTGTTTGTACCGGTTTGTACAAATTAAAGGAAGACCAACTTTTACAACTTAAATTATTTATAAATTGAACCACTGCCACGCCCACATGCATGTACATGTACATGTACAAAAAATAAAGGAGTATTTCATTTCTGATTATTATTATTATTATTATTATTGTTGTTGTTGTTATAAAAGGTTGCAAATGGAAGAATGTCTTTCTCTATTTCTACTAGTACCCCTATTATAATTATCATAATTATTAACATCAACATTATTGTCAATTGATTCTCGAGTTCTGATTGCCGTAGTCTCTTCGTTGCTTGCCCACGCTCTCTTTGATAAGTATAACGGGACCTGCTCCAGCCATTGTTTCTCTCTTTTTCTTTCATCTGGTATAAATGTAACCAATTTGAGTTGTATCCAAGGAACATAGCTACTATACAGGCCCCTACCACGCTTAATGTCTTCTGATATACGTGGAGAGGCGTCGTCATATCTTCTCTGAACGTATTCGTCTTCGTATTGGTGAGATGGAGCGACTCTTTGCCTCCATCGTCTCCTTATCATGATAACATGGAATCACTGCAGTGTATGTGGTTCCGTTGTCATGGAAACATTAAAACCAGTCATCAAAGGGTTAAAAATTAGGTCTTTATTTTTAACCCTTTAGTGACTCAATTAGCTAATCCGCCATTTTATTTCCCTGTAAGCCATTGTCTTTCTCTGCGCCTCTCTCTTTCTTTAGTGAGTAATGGGAGGAAAAAAGAAGAAAGGTGGGGCAGCTAAGCCTTCTCCTCCTACAGAACCAAAGGGAAAACCGCAAGGGGCCACGGGAGGAGATTTGGTTGAAGATTTTGACGATCTTGAAGTTGAAGACGAGTCACGTGACATGCCTTTAGAGGAAGAGGAAAAAGAAGAAGAAGAAGTGAAAATGAAGGAAGATAAACCTCCAGCGACCGGTGGAGCGGAAAAGCAATTGAGTCGAAAAGAAATGAAGAAAATAAAGAAAAAGGTAATCTTTGGGAAAAAAAAGGAATGATGTGTTTAATGGAATTATGATGTAATTCAATTTTTTAAGATCAGCTTGTTATGAGTTGATGAAGTATCCGTTTTAAAATTTAATAATTAAATGAGTGTCATAATTATTTGTGGCATTCGGCGTATTTTATTATTATATTACATAATGATATCAATCAAGTAATTATCGTTAATTATTGGCCTAATCATGTACATAAACAACTAGTTTAGATAAACAAGTTATGTACATGTACATGTACATGTATGTGTTCTCTCTCTCTCCGTCTCTCTCTCTTTCTCCGTCCCTCTCTCTCTCTCTCTCTCTCTCTCTCCCTCTCTCTCTCTCTCTCTCTCTCTCTCTCTCCCCAGGAAGAGATGGAAAGAAGAAGACTAGCCGAGGACGAAGGAGGACAGTTCTCTTATTCGCAGCGTTCAACTCAAATGCAAGCAGCTCTTTTTGAAAACGCCTCCGATATAAAAGTATGTGCTTGTCCACATTGAAAATGTTTGTTTGTGTACATGTACATGTATATATTAAATAACTACGTACATGTGTTTTTTGTTTGATAAACAGCTATAACATATATGTACATGTATAAGTGTCTGTTTATTCTTGTTCGAATGTTATCCATTTTTATGTATAAATATTATTATTATTATTTAGTTATTTTTTGTTTTTAGATTGAAAAGTTTTCTATATCAGCTCGTGGGAAGGAGCTTTTTGTTAACGCTGACCTCAACATTACAGCTGGTCGTAGATACGGACTAGTTGGACCAAACGGGTAATTAATAATAATAATAGTAATAGTAATAATAATAATAATAATAATAATAATGATAATAATAATAGTAATAATAATAATAATAGTAATAATGATAATAATGATAATGATATTAATGGTATTTTTAATTGACTCTTGTTTTGTTAGGATGGGTAAGACTACACTATTAAAGCATATCGCTGATAGGAAGCTCTCAATACCACCGAATATAGATGTACTGTATTGCGAACAAGGTCGGAAATACATGTACATGTACATGTATACATCATTGACACACAGGATACATATAGTGTCAGTCATGTACTATAGTACAGGGTATTACATGAAAAATGGCTAAGAGAGAATTTTCCATTTTTATAAGTTTTTCTGATACATATACATGTACTTATGTTGCGTAAGAAATTTGAGGCGATTCCGATCAAAACTGGATTTTTTACGAATTTTAAAAGTTGCTCCGAAATCGGGCCAAAGTCCCTGTACTATAGTACAGGGATTTTAGCCAAATTTTTTTTAAAATGAAAAGGAGAGAAGTCTCTGATTTTATAATTGTTCCTGATGCATATGCAAAACATGTTCATTCTTTTCATTTTTTTGTCATTTTGCCTGGAATGAAGGAAGCTAGAGGCAGCTAGAGATTGGCTGTAGTTTTGGCCCCAGTACTTTTGTGGCTTTTTTCTTAAGAAAGCATAAGGACATGACTGTGCATCTAATACATGTACATGTATGTGTACATTGTACATGTACTTGTAGTTCTAAATGGCAGTTTCATTGCCGCGAATGACTTTTGGATTGCCACGAATTCTTCAAAATTTCCCCGCTCTCCAAAATTATCATTTATACGGAACTCTACCTTTATGCAATTATTCCTTATTGGTTTATTAAATATCAATTGATTATAATGTTTACATTTTGTAATGGAAAGGTCAATTGAGCAATTGAACCTTTTGTGATTATTATTTTTGAATTAAAGTGTAGCCTCTTTATTAAGGACACCATTGGACCCACACTACCTGTCCTTAATACATGTACAGTGTATCCTCTTTATTAAGGACACCATTGGGCCCACACTACCTGTCCTTAATACATGTACAGTGTAGTATCTTTATTAAGGACACCATTGGACCCACACTACCTGTCCTTAATACATGTACAGTGTAGCCTCTTTATTAAGGACACCATTGGACCCACACTACCTGTCCTTAATACATGTACAGTGTAGCCTCTTTATTAAGGACACCATTGGGCCCACACTACCTGTCCTTAATACGTGTACAGTGTAGCCTCTTTATTAAGGACACCATTGGGCCCACACTACCTGTCCTTAATACATGTACAGTGTAGCCTCTTTATTAAGGACACCATTGGGCCCACACTACCTGTCCTTAATACATGTACAGTGTAGCCTCTTTATTAAGGACACCATTGGGCCCACACTACCTGTCCTTAATACATGTACAGTGTAGTATCTTTATTAAGGACACCATTGGACCCACACTACCTGTCCTTAATACGTGTACAGTGTAGCCTCTTTATTAAGGACACCATTGGGTCCACACTACCTGTCCTTAATACGTGTACAGTGTAGCCTCTTTATTAAGGACACCATTGGGTCCACACTACCTGTCCTTAATACATGTACAGTGTAGTATCTTTATTAAGGACACCATTGGGCCCACACTACCTGTCCTTAATACATGTACAGTGTAGCCTCTTTATTAAGGACACCATTGGGCCCACACTACCTGTCCTTAATACATGTACAGTGTAGTATCTTTATTAAGGACACCATTGGGCCCACACTACCTGTCCTTAATACATGTACAGTGTAGTATCTTTATTAAGGACACCATTGGGCCCACACTACCTGTCCTTAATACATGTACAGTGTAGCCTCTTTATTAAGGACACCATTGGGCCCACGCTACCTGTCCTTAATACAGAGATGTCCTCATTTTAGAGGTACTTTTGTATAGGCTTGGTACCAATCGGTGCATTACAAAATGTCCTCGTTATAAAAGTGGGCGGAGTGTCCTTATTATAGAAGCTACAGCATTACACGTACATATACATATATAATTGTATTTTACCTTTATGTTTATTATTTCTTAAGTACCCTATAATACCAATAACAATATTATCATTATTATTTTTATTAATACAGAGGTTGAAGTTGGCGACATGTCTGCAGTAGAGACCGTATTAAGATCAGACACCAAAAGACTAAAATTATTAGAAGAAGAGAAGAAACTTGTAGCCGAAGGAGAGAAAGGTGACGACTCAAACAGCGAGAGATTGCAAGCAGTTTATGAAGAGCTTGAGGCGATTGGAGCTGCTTCTGCTGAAGCTAGAGCAAGACGAATATTAGCCGTAAGTAAAGGCATGGCTATTTTTAGTAACGAGTTATTTTTAGTAACGAAAGTACATGGCTATTTTTAGTAACGAGGGTGGGGTTATTTTTAGTAACGAGAGTCTTGGTGATATTTAGTAATGAAGGTGCACATGACTATTTTTAGTAACGACACATGTATTTTTTAGGGTTTAGGGTTTACTGTTGAGATGCAGGGGAGAGCAACTATCAAGTTTTCCGGCGGATGGAGAATGAGAGTCTCGTTAGCAAGGTAACGCATCATGCGATCAACATGTGACTTTATAGTTATGTGACTTTATAGGGCTCTATTCATGGAGCCTACGTTATTACTGTTGGATGAACCGACCAACCACTTGGATCTTAATGCTGTCATTTGGTTAGACAAGTAAGTGCTATATATACAGTATAAGTACATGTACAGTGTTAGAAATGACATTGGTGCTTATTGTACATGTAGTTGATTATATAAATGAAGATGTTTTGCGTGTAATTTTACATTAAATGTTCTTGTTTCTTTTCTTTTAGTTATTTACAGTGTTGGAAGAAGACCCTTTTAATTGTTTCTCACGACCAAAATTTTCTAAACGATGTCTGTACCGATGTTATACACTTGGGTAAGCTCTACTGCTGCACTGTACATCAATTGTAATGAAACCACGCCTTGTTTTAGATCAATTAAAATTATATTATTATCGCGGGAATTACAACGACTTCAAGAAGATGTACAAGCAGAAACTGAGCCAGCAGGAAAAAGCGTACGATAAACAGGTTTGACCGGTTTACAATACTGGTACTTCCGCTTATTGTCCTCTCTGTGTAGCAACAAGATTTGAAGAATAAGAAATCTCAAGGACAGTCAAAGAAGCAAGCGGTAAGTATGGACTGCGATTTATATGTAAATTTTAAAAAACTTACCATTTTGCCATTTCTGTTTTATGCAGGAGGCAAGCGTAAAAACGGCCGCGTCAAAAAAGAAGAAAAAGGTATAGTGGGTGCATCTGTAGTGGGTGTGGTCATTAATGAATAGGGTGGAGCTTCGGCGGCAGCGGAAGATGAGGACGAAGGTCCGGCTGAACTGCTTCAAAAACCAAAAGAATATAAAGTAACATTTATATTTCCGAATCCTCCGCCATTGAATCCGCCGATACTTGGAGCATACGGTAACGTATACATGTACATGTACATGTGACTGTCATGTGACTATTTCATAATTTTAGACGTCTCATTTGGGTATCCAGGCCAGCCGTTATTATTCACCAATTTGGAATTTGGAATCAACATGGAGTCTAGAGGTATATAGTATTTGTCATTTTGTTTATTGTTATTGTTATCATTGTTTGTTGTTGTTGTTGTTTTTAGTTGCTGTTGTTGGTCCTAATGGAGTCGGTAAATCGACGTTCCTAAACCTGTTACTGGGACGAGTGGAACCGGTAATATTAGTATTAATAACTATTAATAACTATTAATTAACTTGCTATAGCTATCGGGAGAAGTACGGAAGAATCATAGATTAGTAAGCACACAAAGCCACACCCCTCATTAATGCCATGCCCCTCATTAATTATTCATTAATACCACGCCCCCTCATTAATTATTCATTATTAGCGTATAGGCGTCTACAATCAACACGCTGCTGATCAATTGACGTTGACTATGTCTTCAGTCGAATATTTAATGAGTCGATTTAACGCCGAATATCAATTAGCACGGAAGACATTGGGTCGCTATGGGTTGCCGGGATACGCCCACACAATTAAAATAAGAGACTTGTCTGGTAATTAATAATAATAATAATAATAATAATAATAATAATAATAATAATATTTATGATAATAATAATAATAATAATAATAATAATAATAATAATCATTAATAATATTGTTATTTTTTTAGGAGGACAGAAAGCAAGAGTGGTGTTTGCTGATATAGCACTGATGCAACCAGATCTAATAATATTGGTGAGAGAGAGAGAGAAGGAGAGAGAGGGAGAGGGAAAGAGAGAGAGAGGGGAGGGAAGAGAGAGGGGGAGAGAGAGAAGGGGGGAAGAGAGAGAGAGGGAAAGACTGACAGAGAGATAAGAGAGAGATAGAGAGGGGAGAGGGAGGGAGGGAGAGAGAGAGATAAGAGAGAGAGGAAGTGGAGACAGTCAGTCAGATTCACACACCAATGACCTGTTTATGTGTACGATCATTATACCATAGAAGGGATAATTACATGTGGGAAAATATTCCTGAAATGATCATCATTTGGCATTGAACGATTTCTCTTTGTTTGTTTACAGTATAATCCTCGTCTGCAAATTTTTAAGTAGCTACACCTGAGATAAGGATCGGTGTAGTCATGCTAATTGCCACTTACATGTCCATCATTATGAAATGTAGCAGGATGAAGCGATTAAGAGCAACGAGTGGACTATTATATTGAAGCTATGGGCTGGGGAAAGAGAGAGAGAGAGAGAGAGAGCGGGTACGGCGATAATGTTTTAATGATGTTTTTGATGGCTTTGTTTATTTTCTGACCCTTATTAGATTATTCTTATTTTATTGTCAAGTGAAAATATTCAATTGTTATGGCTGAGTTTTTAATTTATGATCATTCTCACTATTTCGTTAGCAAAATCTTTCCTCTCTCTCTCTCTCTCTCGTCTGCTTTCTTTGTATTGAGATAAGCATTCACACTATGTGTTTGTGGTACTACCTTGCATGTGACATACACATGTAGGCTGAAGTCACACATTTTAAGATGTACACTTACATGTTCTTATATGGTTTGGTTCCAATTTGACTTAAATTTGTTCTCATTTTTGAGAGGCTAATGAGACTGTTTTTGCTCCTGCTATTTTGTAAAGAGATAAAGAATTAGCTTTCTCTTTGTTATTTGTTAATTTCTCTCTTCTCTTTCTTTCTCTTTTCTTCAGGATGAACCGACGAACAATCTTGACATAGAGTCGATAGATGCATTGGCAGAAGCTATCAATAACTACACAGGAGGTAACTGAATTAATAATAATAATAATGATGATGATAATAATAATAATAATAATAATAATAATAATAATAATAATAATAATAATAATAATAATAATAATAATAATAATAATACTAGAGGCCTTCTAAATGACTTAATACATAGACAGTTGATTGGAATTTTAATTGAATAGAAGAGTACAATTATTTTAGTTTTTGGACTGTTTGGTCAAATATTTAATAAGAGTGAGAGATATCAAAATAGGTACACTCAGACCTACTATTGTGGACACTCTAAAATAAGGACACTTCTATAATGAGGAGGGGTAGCATCAGTTCCAATACGATATAATTGTGTAATTTAATGAACCTCTGAAATAAGGAGGCCTCTATAATCAGGACAGGTAGTATCAGTCCTGATACAATTATAAATAAAGCTCTGAAATAAGGATATTTTCATAATCAGATAGCTTTATTTGGTTCAAAGGTGCGAGGGTTTGCCTGCTATGATGAAATAAGACATTTAATCCATTGTTGTTGATATTACGTGTGTACTTAAAGAATTATATTATAATTGGTTTTAATTGTTTTTAGTTCTAAGTAGACTCGCGTCTCTGATTCTTCGAATAATAGCTAAATATGGATAGAATTAGATGGGTGGAGTTAATTTGTTTGCAGCCGTGCCATTATTTTTAATTAGTTTATCAATAATTAGCCGTCATTTCTCAGAAACAAGCCGACATATTTCGTGTGTTAGATAATACCGTGACAATAATGATTATGGGTCAAGGCATTTGAGTTATCCCAATGTGCTTTACATTAAATTCTTTGATGCATATACATGTTCTTTTGTTGTGTAGAAAGTTTGAGGTGACTCCGATTAGATTTGGATTTTTTTACAAATTCTTAAAGTTGCTCCAAAATTGGGCCATATTTCCTGTACTATAGTACAGGGTAACGGACTAAATTTCGCCAAAAATGAAAAGTAGAGAATTCTCCATTTTATAATGTTTTCTGATGCATATACATGTTTTTATGTTGTGTAGAAATTTTGAGCTGATTCCAATCAAAATTGAATTTTTTACAAACTTTTAAAGTTGCTCCAAAATCAGACTCAAGTCCCTGTACTATAGTACAGTGTCATTGGTAGCCAAATTTCATCAAAAATGAAAAGTAGAGAGATTTCTCCACTTTTATAATTTTTTATGAGCATTAAAAGACAACTCATTTCTATGAGTAAAAATAGCGAAAAAAAATTTTAAAATAGCAGTAAATAGTAAAGAATAGTAAAAATTTTCATAGTAAAAATAGCTTAAAGATTAAATTTCCCCTATCATTGGTAGGAGTGATAATGGTCAGCCATGATGCTAGACTGATACAAGAGACAGAGTGTACTCTTTGGGTCATCGAAGAAAACAAAATCAACGAAATCGATGGAGACTTTGACGACTACAAGAAAGAAGTGTTGCAGCAGCTGGGCGAGGTCGTTGATGACTAATTATTATTATTATTATTATCAATTAGAATAATAATAATATAATAATAATTATTATAATGATAATACATGTATTATTTATTAATTTTGTTTTATAATAATAATTGTCCTAATTTCTGTCTGTATATAGACCTGTGGTCTATAGAATATAAATTAATTTTATTATTGATTTAATTTTATTGTTGATGTGGGTGGGTCATGTTACCATAAAAGGTTAAGTCGTGTATATATATATATATATATATCTCATTAATGAGATTCATAGATGAAATATAACATATATAACATGCCGATATGGGTCAATACACTCTCCACCTCGGATACTTTAAATTGATATCACCCTTGGGCCTTTGGCCCTCGGGTGATATCAATTCAAAGTATCCTCGGTCTCGGGATATCGATTCCCATATCGCCATGGTATATATAACATGTATATATATATATATATATATATATATATACACTTGTATGTATTGTTGCTTAATCTAATTATATTGCTAATGCATCACCTAGTCATGTGACTTAACAGTGAGTCATCAGTGATTATTGATTAGCAAGTACATTATACATGTGTCTACATGTACATGTAGATGTAGATTCTAGGAGCATAGGAAGTAAGGTCCCAGACCTTTTCATTTTGTTGGTTAATGGCTTAAAACTAAGTGAAAAAAAAAACTAATTTATTTTAACTACAAAAAAATAGTATAATAATAATTAATAATATCAAAACATAATCTTTAGTCTTCTTATTGTATTTACGTGTGCATTTCTAAAATTTTTATATTATCTCTATGACTTCAATAGCTCAATTTCGGCTAGTTTCCTTATCTCATCGAAAGAATAATCTTTCAGTAGTACTCCATTCTCAAACACTGGAACCAATAGGTCCTACAAATAATAATCACAATAATAACAATAATTAAAGGGGCTACCCCTTTCAATATAACATAAAACATTAACATACTCTTTCAGGAGACCCAGTTCCTTCTTGTTTGGTTACATATTGTCCGTCCTCAATTTCCAGTGTCATCAGCCCTTTTTTTGACTTCTTCCCAGGATCAGTGATAGGCGTTTTATAAACATTAACTCCTTTATCATTGACGACAGCATAGCTGCATTTGAAGGCACACTTCTGAGTATCCCTATGGACCTTCTGTAGCAATGCCCCTGTAATTAGTAATAATAAATAATTAAACTTGAAGTATTACTATTACCCCATCAGTATTATATAAAGGGTAATTCTCGATTGCTAACACTTTCAAAAATATAGTTTAAACTTTGTTTTCCTTTTAATGCAAATTTTGGAAAAAACTACTAAATCACCACAAAAATTTCGAACTTGTACCTCTCTGTATGCTACATGTTTTGAGTCTTGTAAAAATTTGATAAATAAATAAATTCTTAGTGAGTTTAATGATGGTTGTAACACACTCTGTTTATCTGGGGGATCAAGATCTCTCTACATTTCTAGTGTGATCTAGATCTTTCCAGTGTGTATAGTACTAGTATAGCTACTACTATACAGCTACCTCCACTGCCAAAGACTAGGTTGTCTGAACTCCATTTGTTATCCTTGAGTGCTTCTAGTATTTTTGTCAGTGACTCATAACTGATTCCATCTCCCTGTATCACGCGTAGGTATGGAGGAAGTAACTTGTATCCTTTCTTGTTTGTTATCGTTCCAAATTTCGAACCTATAAATTTTTTTAAATTTCAAAAATAAGTAATGATAATTATTATTTTTTAATACCTAATATTTCAAGAACTTTAACAACGACTGTTGGGGGATCACCTGAATCAGGTCTCACCACTAGAGTTCCTCCTATTAATTATCAATAAATAAATAGATAATAATTAAATAAATAAATACTAATAAATAAATAAATAGATACAAATAAATAAATCAATAAATAAATACAAATAAATAAATACAAATAAATAAATACTAATAAATAAATACTAATAAATAAATACAAATAAATAAACACTAAGAAATTAATGAATACATACCTCTTTCTCCTCGTTCTTCAACTAAGTCTTTAAGTTTCTCTCCCCAAAGCTTTTCACATGCATCCCTTTAATAAGAATAATAAATAATTATAATAATTAAATAATAATTATAATTATTTATTATTGTAAAAAATTATTATTAAAAAATTAATAATAATAATTATTATTATTACCAAATATTATAGCTATCGCTGACACAGGCCATTAGACCATTCGGAAACTAAATGACATTCATTGATTGTTAATTAATTAATTATTCATTACCTGTGTTAGCATGTTACGAAAAGCATCGACTTCTCCTTCCTTTGTCCAGCTGGTAATAGTACTAATAATAATTAATAAATAAAATAATAATAATAATAATAAATTAATTAATTATTTAATTACCTGTGTTCAGCTGCTGGAATAGAAAATCCGGCAACTTTGCAATTATAATATTTTCTGCAATTATAATTATAATAATTATTAATATTAATAATAAAAAATTAATTATTACTTTGCAAAACTCAGAGCAGCAACCGTATCAGTACCGCTGAAATTAACGAGATGAGCTGCCCCACCTATACCTGCCGACTATAAATAATAAATAATAACTAATTATTAATTAATTCATAATTCATTACTTCGACAGAGGTACTTCCACGGAATCCAAAATCATGTAATTTGAACGGCAAACCCTCCATGGAGTCTGAAGTCTCATTTAGATACTGTTGACAATAAATATTAAAAAAAACATAATCATCATCGTTATATTTAGACAGAAATGTGAGGTTTTACTTCTATTTATTATATCATTATTATAAAAACCAGCAAAACAAACAAAAAACAAAACAATAAACAACAAAAACAAGACAAATAAAAACAAATGTTTAAAGGCATCCATCTACTGTAGGAGGGAGAGACAGTTATTGTTATTATTATTATTATTATTATTATTATTATTATTATTATTATTATTATTATTATTTCAGGTCAAATTGCCAAAATACAACCTGCCTTTCTAATTAACACGTGCTCAATCATACATAGGTGCTAATCCTCCAGCATGATGACCAACAATACATTGCAATCATGGAATCACATATTAATATAAGTGCTGACAATTTTCTCCCCATACATACAGTACTATTTATGTATGTACTATTTATCTTGGCAATACATGTCATAATAATGATGATGATAAGAATAATAATGATTCAACAAAGAAATAGCTATTACGTATTAACAAAAATACAAATATAGGATAGGTTAGAGATACAGATAGGGAAGAAAATTAACGACAGAATATATACAGTGCAGTACCTTGGCAATTAATTCTTTTTGGGCTCGGGAGCTAGTACAGACTGTGATTGGGTACCAAGCCTGGACCATTAAAGTCTAATTGATCAATTAAATAATAATTATTATACTATAATAATAATTAAAATGCTTGCAACTGACTTCAATGAAGTTGGTCAACCAAAAGCATTTCGGATCAGTATTTTCAACAGTAAACAAAACTAAAATTAAAAAAATAAATAATAATAAATAATCTTCTAGTGTTACTTTTTACCGTTTTTGACAGGGACAATCATTCCTTCTGGGACAGCTTTAATTTTTAAAGGTAAGTGTCCATTGTGCTGGGCCAATATGTATCTCCATCCCTCTTCGTTGAATAGTCCTGACCCCAAATGGCCATCATACACCTCCTTAGCTTCTTGTATTTTCTCTTCAGTGACCACTTTTCCAACCAAATATTTCTATAATGTATATAATTCAAATATATACTTTTAAGGTAAGCAAATTGGATATACAGTGTAGCCTCTATATAATGGATACTTTGGTACAAGGACAGTTGCTCTGTTATACAGAGGCGTCCTTTATGTGGAAGTTATTGTATATAATATAATTATGTAAGTATATCAGATAATTGATACACTAGGTGCTGTCTGTTAAATGGAGGTGTCAAATATAGAGGGTATCCATTAAGAGAGGCTAGACTGTATCAGTGCCTCACTGACTTTCAGTATGTATTGCAAGCCAAAGAAAACCGTCTCGGGGAATACCCCTCCTCTGCATTCAAAATAAGAATAGACTTTACTGGTACCAGGTGGATACTGGCAATAATGGGTCACCTGTGGAATAAGGAAGGGTCTTAGTTGCAACAGAACAATCCATAGACTTGTACCTTGTAGGAATCGACTGTTAACAATAGGTTGTTCTCCATATTTTACACCAAGCAAGTGCACTAGTGCAGAAAGGCGTTAACCTTAAGTATTATAATGATATTCATTGACATTCGTGTTGCCTGACTTTTTTGCTCGGACTTGCTGCACCTACAAAATGGAAGAGGAAGAACCGAGGGAAGAAGAGCCTGTTGCTGTAATCACTGGAGCCAATTCGTGAGAAAAAAGCAGACAGATGCAACTAAAATGTCTATATACTATTAGGGGCATTGGTTTAATGGTTGCCAAGAGGCTTCTGTCTGAGGTCTCTTCTTTATCTAAGCCAGTTAGACTCTGCCTCGCATGTCGTAGTATTGATAAAGCAATGGCTACAAGAAAAGAGTTGCTACAAGTTCATCCTTTTGCTCATATTGACGTACTGGAGGTAGACACTAGTATACCAGAGTCAGCTAGAAGTGCTGCTCAAGAATTAATGAAAAGGTAGATATATTCTTGAATTATTTACATATTTTTATTTAAAGAATAAAAATAATAATGTTGTTATTATTAATCACAGGTATAATAATATATCATGGCTGTTTTTAAATGCTGGCATTATGCCCATTAAAGGATACAATATGAAGTCCCTATGCAATTTAAATAAAGAGTGAGTAGCTATTGTTATTACTATTATTTTATCATTATGTAGTTTTTGGGCTAAATTATTTTCAACTGGTGAAGGATTGCTAATTTATCATGACTGGACAATTACCAATACCAATTTGCAGGCTGTCTTTGCAACAAATGTCTTAGGGCACTATATAATGGTAGCAGCATGTAGTCTTAGTGGTAACTTATTGTAACATTTGGTAGGTAAGAGAATTAGAGGATTATCTTAAAAGACAGGCTAACACTTGTCATATTATATGGACCTCATCCAATACTGCTAGGACAGTAAGATTTGATATCAGTGATATCCAGAATAAGAAATGGTGAGAACAAGAATGCAATTGTGGAGTCAACTTCGTCTTTCATAACTCGAAAAATTTAGTTCAAAACTTCAAACTAGCTCAAACTTTCTACATAGCATAAGGACACCATTATGTATCAGAAAATGTAATAAAAATTTGGGGTGATTTTTTAGCCATTTTTCGGAAAATACCATGGGCTATAGTACAGGGTATTTTTCAGATTTTGGCAAATTTCTTAAAATGGTTGTAACTTGAAAAATTTAAGTCGGAATTGGCTCAAACTTTCTACATGGCATAAGGACATCAATATGTATCAGAAAATGTATTATAAATTTGGTGCATGTGTTTTTGGTTTGCTACTTTTAATTTCTAGTGATGGCCCTTATCCTCATTCAAAAAGACTCATGGACTTGCTATCATTGAGTATCAACAAGAGACTCAATAAGCACGGAGTCTACTCGGACACAGTTTGTCCCGGAATGGTGGTGTCACAAATGACAGCTGCTGTAATGCCGCTCTTTATATGGTACCTGATTCTACCAATAATTTTAATAGTAAGTCATAAATGTCATTTTTACTATTTGCAATGAGTTGATTTTATAATAATGATCTCTCTTTTTAGATTAGACTATTTATTACACATTTTATAACTTTTAAACCAGAAAATGGATCAGAATCTCTGGCGAGTCATTAATATTTTATTATTATCATTATTATTGTTCTTGTTTTAGATTTGGCTAGCTAAGAATGACCCAACCCTCATCGATCACTCGTTAAAATATTTCAGTCGTACTCCTCCTTGTGGAGCTACTTATATTCATAAAGAGAAGATACCCTTTACAGAATCATTATTAATTAATATTTGGGAAGAAATGGAGACTATAGCAGACTCTGTATTATTGCTTGATAATGAATAATTAATAACTAGTTATAATTAGATTTTTATTGATTGGAGTATTACGGAAAACTGAAGTCCGTGTATAATCCGTTTATTGTTTCCTGGTATCATACTATCATCACAACCATTGTTTTTGTTCTCATTAGTTTTTGTTCCTTTCTGTAAGAGCCAATGGCTACTAGTGGCGAACATCAGACTCCTGAAATGGTTAATTCATTACTAGGAGACACGGTACGTAGTACCAAAAATGATATGGCTATTATTTTTTTGTTATTTTTTCTCTGTTTTCTAGAATGACTTGATAGACCAGTTATGTTCCAACGAAGACATCTGGAATATGATACAGTTACCAGATATATCTGAAGGTACACACATATATTTTTATTATATATTAATTTACTTTTTGTTTTGTCGTTAGATTTTTTAAACGTCTACACAAAATCTCCCAAGGACATTTCCTGTTTAGCCACGCCCCCTTTGTCACCTCCAGACTCGGAAGACTCTCTACCTTGTTGCCAAGCAACAAAACTAAAGCCCCGAGTGGTTGCTACTAGCAACGGCGGTTTAGTACAAGTTCTTAAAAGCGGAGAAACTGTCCCCATTAAAGCTTCACTACCTGAAGTAATAATATTATTTCTTTTATTAATTTTATTATTTTTATAGTTATCTAACGTATCACCTCCTCCTTCAAAGAGACCACGCCCACTGGACAATGACGAGGTTAATATTAATTTTCACTTTTATTTTATTTGTTTTTTTTACAGCCGAAAGTATCAAAGAGGGAATTGCGATTGATTAAGAATAGGGAATCGGCTAGTTTATCAAGACAGAAGAAGAAAGAAGTAAAGAAAAGACTAATCTATGAAATTACAATGTACATCTACTCTCTTTCTCTCTCCCTTCCTTTTCTTCCTCCCTCTCTATCTCCTTTCCTCTTTTTTTCTTCCTCCTCGTAGTATGTACAGAATTTGGAGATTAAGTTAAGAGAAGCAGCTGCCAAGAATTCGGCATTACTACAAGAAAACGAATCACTTCGGAGCACGATAGTGAAACTGAAAAAAGAAGTAAACAATCAACAATAAATAAACAAAATTAATATTAATATAGAATGAAATGCTAAGGGGCTCTTCAATGTCTCCTATGAGTCCACTTAGTTCAGTACCACGTCCAGCCATAGTTCTAGTAATTATATTCTGTTTCACGCTATCTTTCTTCCCATTATCGTAAGTCACTAATCTAATAATTACACATTATCATCTTAAATCCTTGTTCCTTTTCTTCTATAGCTATTATTATACAGGTATATCTCCATTATCTGAGTCACCTAGTACTTCATTAGCTCTTCATACCCCATCAACTGGACGAGCTTTGATGTCATTATCAAATAATAATAATAATTATCATAATAGCAATAGAAGAAGACTGGAGCTATTGAGGAATGATATATTGCTGAGGAGAGGACTAAGACACGGTTCAATTCATGATAATACAATATGTACCTGTCCTCCTGTCTCCGCTCCTTCCTCTACCCACAAATCTAAGGAACATAATTCAACAAGAGCATTACTGTAAGCCAATGAATTTATTTATTTATTTATTTATTTATTTATTTATTTATTGCTGTTATTGAATTTTATAGTCTTAATGCCGAATTGGCCATTAATTTTGGTAAAGGTGAATTGAATCAGCTATTAATTAATGATTATATTAATGATGATGATGATAATGATAAATTGAAGACTGATGGCTCTTTGATAATCGTATCTGATTCACAGATTGACCAGTTAGTTCATTTATAATTAATTTTATTATTATTATTATTATTATTATTATTATTATTATTATTAACTGTTCTTTTTTAGAGATAATGGTTGTCAGTGTCATTCGACTACTAACAGAATAGCAACGTAATTAAAATAATAATCATTATTTTTAAATTTATGTTTGATTATTGAATAGGATGTATAAAAGTTTAAAGAAATCAATGACACGGGATTTAAGTCATTTTTACCTAATATCATTCAAAGTAATTAATAATAATAATAATAATAATAAGTATTATTGCTATTATTATTATTATTACTTGTAGGATCACTTATTGCTGAATGCTCCTGCTAGAGTTTCTCAGTCCAATCCTTTACTGTCTGTTATCATACCAGCACATAATGGTCAGTAGCTAATTTATCTCTACTGCATTACTCATTCTCATTACTTTCTATTGTACATTTACCTGTACATGTATAATACTACTTCAGGTACTCATGCTTCTCCTCCTGGCTATATGCCCATGCTACAATTACATTGTAAAGTAGTTGATTCGAGTATATTTCAAATGAGGCTGCCCTGAGCTGAATCTCAAGCACTACAGGAACTGTTATTATTTTTGTAAATTAAAATTGTCATTATTAATTATTATAAGTAACATCATTTTAATTATTATTTTTACTCTCACTAAAGTCAAAACTAAGTGTACGGTTTTAGCCAAGGGAGTTTACGGCTCTCGATCCACATCCAGTTATGAGACATCATCTGCGTTTCGTTAATCCTCCTCTCGGCTCTATAACGTAGCGTCCAACATATCAAATTGCAGCATTCGCTTGACACCCATGATGGTATTTCAGGTGATTGTCGTCTCTCCCATATCAAATCTGCAAGCTGGCCATCATCAGCATAAGGGAGCCTTGCTGATACCATGCAGTATAGTATGATGCCTAAACTCCAAACGTCTGCTTTCATTCCGTCATAACTTTGTCCACTGATGACTTCTGGTGCCCCGTATGCATAGCTCCCACACGGGGTATTGAACCTTTTGCTGCCCACTTGCAACCTGGCGCAGCCAAAATCGGTAATCTTGATGACAAGATCTTCGTTTAGTAAAAGATTTTCCAGCTTTAAGTCCAAGTGGACTATAGAATGTTGATGGAGGTACACAACTCCATTTAGAATATCAGAAAACATTTTGCGGGCGTTTGATTCCTTCATTGCTCCTGTTTTATTTATATATTTTCTCAAGTCTCCTTTAGTCATTATTTCCATCACCATAAAAACTCTGTCGCCATAGATAAGAGACTCAAATACTTTAATTATGTTCCGGCAACGTAGACCCTTGAGAACATTAATCTCTCGTAGCATTTGCTCATCAATTGATGAAGACAGACCTCCCCTCCTTCGTCTAAATGCTTTGATGGCTACAGCTCCATTGGTAACAAGGTTACAAGCCATCCTAACCTTTGCAAATTCACCTTCACCAATGACAGGGCCTAGCACATAAGAAGGAGGAACAAATAAATTATACTCATGGTTCCCTTTGTTTGGTAAATTAGGGAAACGGAATCTCGTGGCATTAGAGACTTGCTCATCTTCAAGGTGAAGGTTAGTGGAGCTAGGAGGAGCAGTAGGATGCTCTCCTACTGATGTAGTTGTGTTAGTGGTGCTATCAGAATCAGTGTGACCAAGACTCTGTGTTGATCCGTTAGAGGAGGGTAGAGAGACATGCGATATGCTTGATTCCGATAAATCAAGAGGAGGCGACTCAACAGTATCTGGTATAGTTACTGATGACCTTATTTCAGAGACAGTAGCAGCTAGTGAGCTTGAATGGTGTTGAATGAGACCTTGCGACTGTTGATGGGGAACTGGAGGAGGAGAAAGAGGTAGTCTGAGAGTATCTGGAAGTGATGTCTGAAGTGGTGTTTCGATAAGTGGGCCAGCTAATGCATTCATGCCTATATCGGATACAAAACTCGACCAGTTTCCAGCAAAATCAGTTGGAAACTGAGTCTGCCAGTTAGTAGGAGGGTGTATTGGGTGAATCATGGTGTATATCCTAGTGATGCTGATTGGAGTAAACCCTGGTGCTGCATTAGCAAGTAGATGAGGATAGAGCACTACTTCAATGCTTGCCCCATGAGGTACAACTCTCCTTGAGACTGCAGTACAGAACTGACTCAGGTAACTTCTCAAACGGATCGGACTAGACCACAAGTGGCTATCAGTTCCATCACTGCTCCAAATAAAATGATATCTTCTCGGTTGATGGATTACGTGCGGTCGCACTGTTGTTCCTAGTAGTCTTGAATATACCTCAGTTCCTGCATCAGACTCTCGTAGTAATACAGTCACTATATTACCAGTAGAACTGCTTGAGAGTTCACTGGTGCTACTCATTGTAGCTCTTCCACTTCTTTGAGGTAGTCTCTCAGTTGCTTCCGAAGATTGGACAAAAGAGTCGTCATGTGTGGGCGGTGGTATTGAATTCTCTGATTGACTGATGAGAGATGAATTGATGCTAGTGGCCCCATGAGAGGTAGTTACTGCATGACTCATGCTTAGTGCTCTTTCTGTTGCTTGACTCGTGCACACGGCAATCATCGTGTCACCTCTAGACGGAGTGATCTCGGTAAAAGAGAAATTAGCGTTACCGCCATGATTTAGCATTGATTCGGTACTCGTTTGATTGATACTTGTTTGGTTAACTGTTGAGTGATTGGTGAGAGGGAGAGCAGGAGGATCAGTGTTGATACGATCAAGTATTGACTGCTCATCAGTATCGGTCACTGCAGCTAATGCTGGAGCAGGTTCTGAGATGACTGGAGCTGATTGGACTTGAAGCGATTGGTCATTGGTCTCTAATGAAGTAGAGCTCTCTCCTCCTCCTGTCTCTTCTTGTTCAAATGTTAGCTCAGGGAATAAGAGTGTTGGGTCTATAGTTACAGGAGTTTCGGGCTCTCCTTGCTGTTGCTGCGTCTCATTGCTTGCTTCTGCTGGCCTCCTCCTTCGTCTCCTGTTAGTCCAGAACCTTCTGGCTCTTATCCTAAACCGAGGCATGTTCCTTTCCACCTCCACGGCCTCTCTTGCCTCCTGTCATCTTCCTTTGCAGGCTGTCTGAAGCAGGAAGCATCTCTAGCAACGAGACGCACATGGCAACAAGCAAATCTCTCTCTTTTACTTTGAGCACAAAATTACTGCATAATATTATTTCCACACATCTAGATCTAAACTTTGAGCTTTCTTAGTAGCGGCAAGACAAAAATAATATCCAAAAACTTCTTAATGAGAAGAAATAAATATCTATGCATACAAAGGGACGAAAACAAACTTAGAAAATAATAATATTTACACTTTACATGTATGTATATAACAAAAACATAACACAACAAAATAATTATTTTAAATCCAGACAGTATTATTATAACAGTTTCTCTTTGATTCACATAATCTCTTCTCCTTTGGCTCTTTTCTCCTGAGAGTCATGCCAGGCCTTCTTTATGGTTCTCTTCATATCATCATCTCCTTCATCGTAGAGCTTTTGCATCATTTTCATCAAACCAGCGCCTGGGTCTTCCTTTTCATCTGGTTTGCTAGGCTTCGGTCTTTAAAATTAAAGAATAATCATTATTATAATTAATTTTAGTAAACTTAGCAATTCTTATTACATTTTCTGATGCACATTGATGTCCTTTTATGCTACGTAGAAAGTTTGAGCTGATTCTGACTTAAATTTTTTAAGTTATGGCCATTAAAAAAAATAAGCCAATGTCTGAAAATACCCAAGGTTATAGCCTTGGGTATTTTTCAAAAAATGGCTAAAAAGTCACCTCCACTTTTTATTACATCTTCAGATGCATATTGATGTCCTTATGCTATGTAGCAAGTTTGAGCCAATTCCGACTTAAATTTTTCAAGTTATGGCCATTTTTAAAAATTGTCGAAATCTGAAAAATTCCCTGTACTATAGCCCATGGTATTTCCAAAAAGTGGCTAAAAATCACACCCAACTTTTATTGCATTTTCTGATACATATTGATGTCCTTGTGATAATGTAGCTGTACTATTATACATCATGTGACTTACTCTCTTGCTTCCTTGAGTTTCTTCTCTCGTGCCGTCAGAACTGACCAGTTCTCAGCTGACGCCTTCCTCAGTGATACTGTTACCATACCACTCTTAACCTAGAGTGTAAAAAATAAAATTATTAAAATTATAATATTAAAATTAATAATTGATGTACCTTGACAGTTGATTTCTCTGGATCAATAGGATTCAGTAATCCATTAATGACTAACGAGTAATTCCTTCCGCCAACATTAATCAATTCAACTGTAAACGACCTACAAAATACAATAAATAAACAAATAAATAATAAATAAACAACAAGAAATATAGCAAAATAACAATAATAATAACGATACTAAATAACACTGCCTATTATGATAATAATTATTAAAAAGTACAATGATATGATTTGCACTTACTTATCAGTGAAGTTTGCCTTCACGTTATCAGCTCCTACATTATCAATCCCTTTAACGTCAGTGATATATATTTTAACAAACTTATCCGACTGATCCCATCCTGATAACAAGTGGAAATAGAACAAATAAATAATAATAAAATAATAATAGATCTAAAATAATCCTTCAATTACCATAAGATGTTATTTTCGTGCTCGTCAAAAGCTGCTTCTTATGTGTTGTGGTCAGAGGCTTCATTGAGACTTCTTTTATTTCCTCTCCATTTTGCTCATTACTGGACTTCTTCAGGGCATTGTTTAATAAAGAGATAGTCTCTGGGTGCTTTGCTAAAGTAAGCAAATATTTCAGTTCTTCGACATGTGACTATCAAAAAGAAAAAAATAATGATTAGAATGTTACACTAAGTCCACACCATTTTAAAAGCTTACCATTGGCACTGAATCGTCTACCTCCATTTCCATTTTGATAATTATTATGCTTCAGGCTTCTGACTTTAGTAAAAATTTATATATAGAGGCCAAGTAAAGAATAAGTTAGAATTATCTGGAAGCTCCAGGCAGTGATCCCACCCAACCACACCTATAATGGATGACACGTGTTTGCAAGAATGCATTGCGAATTTTATACCTACTTCCGGCATGGGTGTGTAGTGTAGTCTTTCCAGTTCAAGCTCATCGAAGAAATGGTAGTTTCTTTGTTTCTCTGTTACATTATTATTAGTGTACCATCTTATAGGATGATGGGTTTATGCTTTTTGCTGATGATAGGGCGGCAGAGCTGAAGGTCCACTGCCCTCTCTGTAAGAAGGTGTACATCGATCCATTTATATCTACCTGTGGGGTAAGAGAGGGGGAGGGATAGTATTATTCATTTTATCTCTTTTTCTAGCATACTTTCTGTTTAAAATGTATCAAAGATAACGCAGGTGATATAAAATTTAAGATGAATAACTGATGAATGCATTTTTATTGATTTGATAGGGGAGTGTCCGCTTGATGCTATCAAATTTTCACCAGTTGTCAAAAATATTGCCGTATGCCACTCTACCCCTTTAGCCATCAATTATTTTCGCTTCTCCCTCTCCTTCCCTTTTTTAAGGTTTATGAACAAGTTGGTGAACTATTGGTTCATTGTTGCTATGGTGTTATTCTTAAAGATGGCCATGCCCATCCTGTGGTCGATACAAATGGTATGATGATGTCACATGATTTTCGTGTGACTTTACAATTGTGCAGGTTGCCAGGCAGTCATTAAAATCAGCGAAAAACAGTGAGTCATTTATTTATTTATTTTTATTATTAAATTTTCTTGTAGCGAACACGAAGAAAATTGTGAGTTTAAGCCAATCTCCTGCCCTAATGATGAAGAATGTCCGAAAATGTTTAGAAAGGTCAGTGTGGTGTAATTAACTATTATTAATAGTTAATTAACAGGAGCTCGAACAACATTTACAAATGTGCCAGAATGTCAAGTGCCCTCATCATAAATACGGGTAGGCCACGCCTTTTAAAAAAATTAATTGATTTTTGTTTAAAGGTGTCCGTTTAAAGGTAAGAAGGAGCAAGTGACTGAGCATGTTCAAAATTGCAAGTTTGAAGGAGTGAAGGTACAGTGCTTTATGAATCACCTTTATACAGTGTGATATTAAGAGTTATATTATAAATTTAATAAGAGGATTGTTGGATGTGAACAATTTGCAAAAATGAAATCTATAAAGATTGAATAATTATGTTTTGCAAAATTAAAAAAAAATTACTGTGCTGTCTTTCTTTTCCCACATGCAGGACTACTTGCAGTCATTAGATGAGATAATTACTGAATTGAAGAAGGACATTATCACTAAAGACTCCCTCATCACTAATTTACAAGGCACAGTCACTGAACTAGAGGAGAGGCTAAGCGACACGGAGAAAAATGCTGCCTTGACATCCAAAAGATTAGGTAAATAATCTATTTATTTATTTATTTATTTACTTATTTATTTATTTATTTGTTATAGATGATCTGGAGGAGCGTTCCACCAGCATAATGAAAGCTGTTTCCAGCACCACTGATAATTTTGAATTTGTGATGGTAGGTAATGATACCTAAAAATATATCTTGCTAAAACTCTCTCTCTCTCTCTCTCCTTTTTTTCTCTTCTCATTTTAGAGTAAATTGACACTAGTTGAGCATCAATTGGGAACTAACCGTAAGCCTTAAGTTATTAATAGTTATTAAGTGTATCTCATTAGCAATTGAGCCGCAACTTTTGTTCAAGTGTCAAGGAACATTCGTAGGACATAAGGTACAGGACCCTTTGCCACCAGGTCCGAGTAATAGTCCAATATTGATAATGTTTATAGGGTCCGGTGTGGAGCCTCTGCATTTCTAATGACGTTCTATTCAGTGCTTCCTCAGATAACACAATAAAGGTTATTAATAGTTATTAGTAGTTATTAATAGTTATTAACAACCTTTTAGCTGTTATTAATAGTTATTAATGGTTATTAATTATTAGTCTTGGAATCTGAGGTCAATTTATGAAGGACCAAGAACGATGACCGGCCATGATGGAATAATACTAGCAGTCTGCTCTAAAGAGTAATAATTATACAAAATATCGATAATAATAAATTCCTTTTCCCCCCCTCTCTCTGTTCCATACAGTAATTATTTATACAGTGGCTCGTCTGATAAGACAATTAAAGTTTGGGACACAAAGACCCTCTCCTTAGTGAGCAGTTTTGTAGCTCACGATGACCCGATCTGCTCATTGACCACTCATGAGAACAAACTCTACTCTGGATCATTGAGAAGCATCAAAGTAATACTAGCAAATTTTATTGATACTTTTACATGATGATAATAATTATAATAAGTGTAGCTTCTTTATTAAGGACACCATTGGGCCCACACTACCTGTCCTTAATACATGTACAGTGTAGCCTCTTTATTAAGGACACCATTGGGCCCACACTACCTGTCCTTAATACATATACAGTGTAGCCTCTTTATTAAGGACGCCATTGAGCCCACACTACCTGTCCTTAATACAGAGGTGTTCTCATTTCAGAGGTACTTTTGTATAGGCTTGTACCAATTGGGACATTACAAAATGTCCTCATTATAAAGGTATCCTTATTATAGAGGCAACACTGTAGTTTATAATGGGAATAGCCCAGAGAAAAGAATATTCTTTATTTATTTACTGTTGTGTTAATGTTGCAGGTGTGGGATCTTTCAGATGATAATAAATTGTTAAAAGTATTACCGACACAAAACCACTGGGTGAGGGCACTGGCTGTATCTGGGAAATATTTATACTCGGGTTCTTACAGAGCAGTCAAAGTAAGAGAGAGAGTATGAGAGAAGGAACTCTTCTTGTTACTATGATTGTTGCTTTATTTCCGTTACTATTAATAAATGATCTTGTTATATTCTTGTCGTTGCTATTAATAGATATTCTTGCTTACTATTACTTCTTGTTGTTACTATTAATAGATCTTGTTACTATTTATAGATATGGGACCTATTATCAATGGAGGTTGCTCACGTCCTCCAGTGTAATGGCGGTAGTGTTTATTCCCTTGCTCTAACCTCCAGATACATTGTGTGTGGTACGTACGAAAACATGATACACTTATGGGATATAAATACGCTAGCAGAAATCACCTCATTATCCGGTAAGTAGGTGTGGTTATGGGCGTGGCTCATTAATTATTCATAGGCCACGTTGGTACGGTGTACGCTTTAGCCGAATTATCCAATCCCGGGGGACAGAGCAGGTTATTCAGTGCTTCTTATGACAAGACGATTAGGGTTGGTATTTTAGTTTTTTTTATGCTCGTAATTCCATACTTGGTACCAGGTTTGGAATATGGATCTCATGACGTGCGCCCAAACGATGTCACGGCACGAGGGAAGTGTCACGTGTCTAACTGTGAATAGAGGATCAATAATATCGGGATCAGTTGATAACAATATAAAGGTATAGTTGTATTTTTAAAATTCTCATTCCCTTTCTTGTTTTGGTGTAGATATGGCGACAATGACACACAGACATTTTTAGTATTTTTTTATTTCTATTTTTTACCATTTATTACTATCCCAGATTTTTCCTATTTTTATAATTAATTTTTCTCAATCTGTTATTTTTTTATCATGCCATGTCATTTACACTCTCATGTCATAATATTTTACATACGATAAAAGTGGTTTTTGATTATTTTTATTTATTTTTTTTTAATTAGCAATGATGAGTTCAGGGGCTGAATCTTCCATCAGCTGTTTTGTTAGTTTGATCTGCGAGACCCATTCACAGACCCTCTCTTTAATACGAGATACCTAACCAAATAATTATTCGTTATGATAAAGTTTGATAATGTCCCAAGGGGTCTTGATACCTGTGAATAATCCAGGACCCTTGGCTGGACCCAAGTCATATTCACTTGCTTATCAACTTCATCAATTGTGCCTATTATTAAGTGAACTTAAAGGCACTATTAAGATAATCATGGACAATGTTAAAATGTTTATAACTCGAAAAATTTAAGTCGGAATCGGCTCAAACTTTCTCCATAGCATAAGGACATCAATATGCATCAGAAAATGTAATAAAAATTGGGGGTCATTTTTTAGCCCATTTTTTGGAAAATACCATGGGCTATATATAGCCTTGGGTATTTTTCAAATTTTGGCAATTTTTTAAAAATGGCCGTAACTTGAATAATTTAAGTCGGAATCAGCTCAAACTTTCTACACAGCATAAGGACATCAATATGTATCAGAAAATGTAATAAAAATTGGGGGTCATTTTTTAGCCCATTTTTTGGAAAATACCATGGGCTATAGCCTTGGGTATTTTTCAGATTTTGGCAATTTCTTAAAATGGCTGTAACTTGAAAAATTTAAGTCGGAATTGGCTCAAACTTTCTACACAGCATAAGGACATCAATATGCATCAGAAAATGTAATAAAAATCGGGGGTCATTTTTTGGCCATTTTTTGGAAAATACCATGGGCTATAGCCTTGGGTATTTTTCAGATTTTGGCAAATTTCTTAAAATGGCTGTAACTCGAAAAATTTAAGTCAGAATGAGCTCAAACTTTCTACACAACATAAGGACATCAATATGCATCAGAAAATGTAATAAAAATTGGGGGTGATTTTTAGCCATTTTCAGAAAATACCATATACCTGTACTATAATAGAGAATTCAGTTAAAGACATTTTGATTATGAATTACCTTTTACTAAGCCGAGGGATAAACCTCTCATCACTAATAACTCCACCTATTAATTAATTAATTAATAATAATAATAATAATAATAATAATAATAACAATAATCTCTCTTACATCGTTAATATCAATTTGGGCTGCCTCAGCAATCGTACTAAAGTCAATTCGTCTTTCGTGAGCTTGACGCCGAAAAACCAACTAATAATAATAACAATAATAATAAAAATAATAATAATAACAACAACAACAACAACAATAATAATAACAACAACAACAACAATAATAATAACAATAATAATAATATGAAGAATATT